GCATATAAATTTAATAAATTGAATTGAATTGAATTGAGTTTCAGGATAATCTTTGTTGTAGCCCCTTATTAGCTCAAATACCAGCATTGAGCCCAGAGGTCTAAAAGGACATACTTATCCCATATAGGTCCCAGAAAGGCCATCCACCAGAATGATCAATAAAACTTTTGTCCATAACTGGGTTTCACCACGACAGGAAAGATCCAAATAATCTGTTTCCTTTAAGATTGTCTACAGTTGATTTACTACCAACTTTTCAACAATCTTCCCTTAAAAAGGAAGACTGAAGACCAATCAAATACCTTTGGTCAAAGAAATTTCTTTAGAAAAGAATATATTATTATCTCCTTGGAAGCAGGCAGCATTATTTGTTTGTTTGTTTGTCTGTTTGTTTGCCTTCCCTAGAGTTAGCATGTGTGATTAAGAAATAATCTGTATTTTACAGATAACTTTAATATTCTTTGCAATTACTGGTAAATCTAGTGAATTATTCTTAACTATTTTGGGTGATTCGTAAAAAAAAATTATAACATTTAAGTAGAGTAGAAGTTTCTTGCTGCATAGTTCAGATATAAAAGCTGTTAATTACTAGAATATTGGCATAATTATCCTATCTTGAAGGTGTTTCTACAAGTATAATTATCTTTATGATGAAACAAGTATGTTTTTTCCAGATATGATTATTTTATAAAGTTATAAATTTTTAATATTGGTATATTTTAAAATATAAGTTATTGCTGAAACTTGAGAGTTCCCATTGTAATGGATGACTTTGGATTGAATTTTCGCTTGATATCCACAGTTCTCAATAATCTCAGTATAATTATCTTGTTTTGGGTCCAGAGGAGCTGCCTTCTTTTCCTCAATACAGTTTAATATATTCCTAACTCAACTACATTTGGAAGACTATCCAAAATAGTGTTAAATAATATCACAGGCACCACAGTGAATGTGTAAAATTATTTATGGGCAGAAGGGGTGGGATTATGGCTAGCTTCTGAGGACCAGGCCATAAATTTTTGGCCCCGCCAATTTTGGGAATTTACTGAGGTTCCCCTTGACCTGGCCAATACCTACACAGAAGAAAAGCAGATGAGTTATGGATCAGCATCATTTCTAGGTACAACAATTTAGAAAGACAATAAATTTGATTAATGCTACATGCATAGCCTAATACCTCAGAATGCTAGTATACATTGGTGATCAATGTCAGGCAAATCAACTCATTAAATAGAAAATCTAAAATGTTACTCAGCTTCTTCCAACATATATCCAATAAGATTTGCTTATAGGGGTAAGAGGGGGGGTATTATGCTTAAATATGGAAACTCCTATAAATAAGGACGGATAAAGTCACTAAAGCTATTTCTGAATATACAATTATATAGGAAAACTGGTTTTCATAAAAGCAACAATCTAGTATCATCTACAATTTCCAATTTATTTATATATTTATATTTATATTTATGTATATGATGCATATGTATATGTATATGTATATGTATGTGTATATATATGTGTGTGGTATTTGTGCTGATAAATAAATAAAGGGAGACTAGTATAGATCTATTTCAAGCTATTTAGCTCTCATCAGCTAGCCATACCCTTACTGGGATTCGAACCTGGGCTATGTTACATCTTAGGCAGACGTCTTAGCCATTAAGACACACACACACATAATTAAAAAGTGCTGAGTCAGCATCCGCTCCCATAAATTTGCTATGAATGAATTAAACCTCTCTCTGTGCATATAATATTAAGAGAAACAGACCAAATTAAATAGATTTAAAACAGTCAAACATTCATTCTAACACATACTGTATTAGAAGTCTAGCAAAACTTCATACCTTTCATAGCATCTTTATATATGTTGATAAATAAGTTGAATATTTCTTTAGGAATATCACTTTCATCTGGTAAACATTGTAACAGTATGATAATTTCAGTTTGCCCCAACCCATGCATTCCATTGGTGAAGAAATACCAGCATTTTTCTGAATTATCTAAATGACAAAAAAACCAAATATTGAGCCTTTTTATGTTGTTAAAACACATGTAGTCCTCGACTTATCAGAGTTAGTTCAGTGAGTGTTCAAAGTTACAATAGTACTGAAAAAAGTGACATGATAATTCTTTACACTTATGACTATCGCAGCATCTCCATGGTCACATGATTTACAATTTGCTTGAAAACTGACTCACATTTATGTGTCCCGGAGTCATGTTTATTCACTTTTATAATCTTCTAACAAGCCAACTCAATGGGGAAAAGAGATCCACTTAACAACTGTGTTATTAATTTAACAACTGCAGTGATGTGCTTAACAAATGTGGCAAGAAAAGTCGTAAAATGTGGCAAAACTCACTTAACAAAATTTTCACTTAGCAACATAAATTTTGGAGTCAATTGTAGTCGTAAGTTGAAGACTACCTGTTTAAAAAAAGTTCAAAATTTTATATATTTTGCAATGTATCCATAGACCAATTCTAACTGAATTCAAAAATATAATCTGGCGCAGAACTGTTACTGCCTCAATGCAATCATTTATTTGTTATTAGAAAAAGCTCTGCCAGAACACATAATCACTGCCAGAAGTGAAATCATAACGGTCCCCTCCCTCTATTGGTTTCAATGACAGGGAAAGTAATTGCTTACATCAAGTTTGGCATAAATTGATTCCTAGCCCTTATTTGAAATTGAGAAGCTATAATCCAATGGTTCCAAAGTCAATCTTCCCCACTTACATGTAAAGAATCTTGTTCAGGGATCATTCCCTAGCTAACATACTGAAAGAAACCTTTCAAATCTAGAAATATAATGAAAGAATGCATTGTAGGACCAATAGATATTCTTTATCATATTGTAGTGAAGTTATTAAATTACATAAAGGTTAAACATATTATAATGAAAAGAATCAAAAGTTTAGATTACTGCATTTAACATTTTCATTTGGATTTGATATTACTTGGATTTTCTATACCATTATCTTTCCATTTAATTTAGTCTAATAAAAAAAATTGCAAGTGGGGGTGAGAGAATCCTGCACTACTACTCAGTTTTAGACAAAATACTAACCTCCTATTTTGTATCAATTAAGGAAATTAATTATAAGATAGAAATAATTGAAAAATAATTAAATAATTATAACTATAATAATTATAACAGTTGTTGAGTTTACATTTGAAACTATAATTATAATATTTTTCAAGGTTTTATGTTTAATATGCTAATACTTACAAGATAGTATCTTGACATTCACTAGTAAGTTTGCATTTAGAATGAATGTCAATGGATTAGATTCTTCAAGCAATAAGGTAATTTGCTCATTAGAAGGATGCTCTTCTACCAAGGATTCTGAAGGAAAACATGAAAAAATAAAAAGACATATAATTGCAATTCTGAATTTTGAAAAAAAAAACTTTAATAACACAAACTACATTGAGGCAACTGATGTTTGGAATATAATCCAAATTAATAAAGTGCGAATGAACTAAAGCTAGTTCAAATTATTTTTTTTAATATTTCTCTGTTCTGAATCTTATAAAACATAGATATACAAATTCCTATTTCAGTGTTGGCAATGGTAAACATATACCATTGTCTCTTGAAGTTTAAATTTTGTATGGCCAGTGAACACACTTATTTTAATTTAGCTAAAATTAAATATATATACAAAACACTTCTATATGCAACAACAACCATAAGTGTGATGGCCTAATTCATAAGATTCTATTAGGCTACACTGAGAGTTGTGACCATGAATAAGGTTTCCTTTGACAATCTCAATGCATAGATTTATTTATATTGGAAAGATATTAATCTTGAATCCAGTTCAGTCCTTAGCAATTAATTAAGCATCACATTTCCCATTTAGTTGCTTCTCCACTTAAACAAGCAATTATACTTTGAATTACTGCAGCTTCTAGACAATCTTTAAGATAGCTTCAGGTATACTACAGGTATACTACAATAACATAACCATGAAACTGGTAAGATATAGATAACTAGGAAGTCTTCAACTTTTGAAGTCAAGCATGTACCAGTCGTTGTGCATGTTAGAGATAGCTCTGGATTAGTCCCATCAAAAAAAGAGCAACTTTATGCAGAACATGCCCTATCCCACAGCATCTCACTTTGCCAGTTTTGTATTTCAATTTATATATCCTAATCTAGTAGAAATGTATACTGACATCTAAATTTGTCTTTTTGTTTCATTATAATTATAACAAAAAAAATACATTTTTTTTCCTGCACAATAGCATAATCACACTAATTAATTTTAGTTCAAACCCAATTTCTAAACTCAAATCCTTAGCCTAAGAATTGGTATATGTAAACCTTTCTGTATTTCGTATTACATATTCACATTAAATGTATATTATTAGTATCACCACTTTGGGTTTCTTCAGAAAGTAGTATAGTATAAAAGCAACATAAATAGTAGAGGTGTATTTATATGATTTATTTTATAATGTTACACTTCTAAAATGCAAAAAAATTGAAAGGTTAAGAAGCAATCCTCCTTTTCATAACACCTTAAAAGCAAGACATTACCTTTACCTTTTTCTCCTCTTGCAAGCAGAAGAGGTGGAAATCCATCACCAGGAATAAGGCTGACCTCCTTACCAACACAGTTTTCAATATAACAAAGCATCCTATAATCTAATATACTAGTAGAGGTATCACTTGCTTGATCAGTTGCAGCAGGAAGAGATTCCTTTGCTAGTTCAGAAACAATAGGAACTTCAGTAACAGCTGCAGTCACAAAGTCAGAGTCACACAACACTTCAGTTTGTGCAATGGGCAGACAGTCAGATTCACGTGGTAAGTCAAGCTGCTCATTACTAGGCAATACGTCTTTCTGTGGAACAGAAGTGGAACCCCTTGCAATCCCAGTTTGTTCAGCTACATGCATTTCATCTTTTGACTTGGTATCAGTTGCAGAGACAGTTTCATTTGTTGGGCTTCCAACCTATGACAAAAGTTTTTTTCCATTAGATCTGACATGCACCTGAGCTCAATATTGCAAAATTTGTAGGAATACTTTAACTTTGGGATGAGAGAGCTTTTGCAAGGAAAACAAATGAATAAAGAAATTAATAAAACAAAACCAGGCAGCATTCTCACACATACCCCAAAAAGTTAAATGCAATGAAGCAGAAACTTAGTTATTTATTTGATTGATATAACTGCCCATCTTACTTGTATGTGATTCTGGGCAGTCTTTAATAAAACAATAAATAAATAATATCAAACAAAAATAACAACACATAGAAACTGGGCACAATCTAAACCGTCATGTATACTAGCCCAAGTAGGGTCACAGAATCAAACAGAAAGCCCAATTTTCAAGGCCCTGTGATCTAATCTTAGAGGCCATGATGTTCCATATCAGAAAAGGTTCTCTGACAGCCAACATTACCTAGCTGATGATAGCCAGAGCATGCTCTTCTTGCCAGATCAGAGAATGGGTAGAAATAATTGGGGAAAGACAATCCTGTAAATAACACAGTACTAAGCCATGAAGGGATTTAAAGGTGATAACCAGCATCTTGAATTACATCTGAAAGCATACTGGAAATGAATGCAGTTCATGGACGAGTGATTGCATATAGCAAATAACTGACACCCCAGTACACATGTGCGCATGAGAGGCACTCCCATTTTTTCCATGCTTTTTTCGCCCTCCCCAGGCTCCAGACGCTTTATAGAAGCCTGAGGAGGGTGAAAAAATCCCCCCCCTCTCCCCATGGAGGCCCTGCAGAGGCTTCAGGGACCTTCAGGAGGCTTCCCTGAAGCTTCCGGAGGACTTTATAGGAGCCTGGGGAGGACAGCCTCCCTCCCTCCCCCAGAGGCTTCAGGGACCTTCAGGAGGCTTCCCTGAAGCTTCCGGAGGACTAAAAAGGACCCTACGAGCAAACTGGAAGTCACTTCCAGTTTGCTTGTAGGGCCAGTTTAAGACCTTTGGAGGCTTCAGGGAAGCCTCCTGAAGGTCCCTGAAGCCTCCAGGGGACTAAAAAGGACCCTAAACCGGCTGATAGGGCTGGTTTAAGCCCTATGGCTTCAGCGATCTTCAGGAGGCTTCCCTGAAGCTTCCGGAGGGCTTAAACCGACCCTACGAGCAAATCAGAAGTCCATTCCCGAACTTCCGGTTTGCCCATAGGGCCAGTTTTTTGCACTCACGTGCCCTGACAAATGGCTCTGCTTGCCACCTGTGGCACGCGTGCCATAGGTTCACCATCTTGGCCCTAAGTTATGCAAAGGTGCTCCTAGCCAGAGCTGCCACCTGCTCTATTTGAGAAGTATATTTTCTGCATTAAAAAGACAAAACAGATTTTTTGAATGACACATTTACCAAGTAGCTAATTGTATTTAGAACCTAAAATGATAACTTCAGATAAAATAGGGCTTACAGGTTCCTGTGGGAATCGCTTGGCGCCGGATGACAGTTTTGTTGTGTCTGCAACTTCTCCATTAGGTAAAATTCCATCTGCAAACCAAACTCTTCTCTGGTCTTTAGGGAGCAATGCTATAGAGAAGAAATAAATGGGTACACCACAGATACTTGTTTAGCTAATACCAAAGTCATGTCCCTCTCTTCCCCACCAAAAATTCATTTAGAATCTACATGATGGTACTGCAATCTAATAAACAGATAAAACAAAATGTGATGAATATCATGGTATCCCAAACACTGGATTTTTGCAACTAATAATGTCAAGCAACTCCTGTATAATACTTTATATACAATTTCAAGATGGAGATGGAGATGCAAATAGAAAAATAGCAAAGCAGCTAGAAGAGTTTACTTCTCAACACTAACTTTATAAGCTCTTTTTTCATTTTTCCCATCTCAGGTATGAAAGTGTTATTTTAGAGGTACTGAATAATTCCTTAGGGGAAGTTTCATTCTCCACTAACAAGTATCACAAGTTGTATGCTGAGCAAAAAATAATCACTCTTAAAAAAAACTTTTTGAAAAATTTACTCACCTAACAAATCTGCAAGTTTATTGTGCAACAATAAATATCTAGGAATGCTTGGGCAGTAAATGAACTGTACCTTGGATGATTTCTTTAATTGATATGGATATCAATTATATTGTGTGGCCTGTAGATGTTGAATTATAACTCCTATCATCGTTACGCATCTTTACTAGGCAGCGCAGCCAATTAAAATACAAATCTTATTATTTATTTACATACAGTATATCTCATATTTCTAAACCATTCGTGTCCCTCAAAGAGGGGCTCTGAGTGGTGAAATAATTTTAGATAATAACATAGAATAAGAAGTACCAGATGTCTGGGTTTCATGCAGAGATGGAATAGCTGGAGATTCAGACACTACAGAATTAGATGCTGGACCAGTTGGGGTCATCATTTGTGCTAATGAACAAAATTGAAGAGTTTAAGTGTCAAAACTATATACAAGAAATATTTCACAAATGTCTGCTCTGGGGGGCAATATTCATACGCCTAATAGTAATCAAGGTGAGTTCAGGATATATTATTTACAATTTTGTTTTAACAAATTCTGCAATGTTTGAGATTTTTATATATAATTTTAAACATAATTTTGTTTTACAAAACATTCAATCTAAGTTTTTATCAAAATACATTCTTTAATTCTTATGTTCTTTCTTACAAAGTTATTTAAGATAATAATGACTCCACAGTCATTGACACTTCTTATCTGTGACTTTTAAAGGGTCACATTTAAATCGCAGAATTAGTCAGGAGTATTCCTGCAACCTTATTTGAAGAAAACCCATCTTCTTTCAGTTATTCTTGGTCCTGTGACATCTAGCTGGACTGAACTATTATACTGCATTATACAATTGAAAAATGTTAACTGAATGTAGCTCCCGAGGGAATGGGGCAATATGAAATTTGACAACTAGATTAATAAAATTAATATTCTTGAAAGAGCACCTTTAAGGTCTTCATGCATCCTGAGTTACTACTTATTTGGTCCATTTTAAAAACCATTTAGGCTGATGGCCACAAGGCAAAAATCTCTTTGGCAATAAACCCAGAGACCTCACCATTGTACAACACAAAATGGTTCCAACCATTCATTTATTTACTTTGTTTTCTCTTAAATATTTTCTTGAACTATTTTGTAGATGATATTTATCATCATTTACATAACAGCTATATGTAACTATTATGCCAGATATATCTATCCTTCCATTTTCATACAGAAGAAAAATCCTGTGAGATAAGTCAGACTAAAAGAGAGTCAATGGCCTTAAAAAAAATGGTTGTAGTCATAACCAAGATTAACTGGTGCCAGTTTAACACTATAATCAATATACCACAATTGGTTTTGTTATTGAATTTTGCACAAAAATGAAATTGGAAATAACTATTGTTTATTTTGAAGGAGACAATATTTTTTATTGAATGTGAGCTGCTTTAATATTTGCTGGTTTAAAAAACTTTTTAAAGCTTTATTTTTTTACATACTGCAAGTATATATATATATATATATATATATATATATATATATATATATATATATATATATATATATATATATCAAAACAGCTTTGAGTTTTACCCTATTTTTTATTTATTTAAATAAATAAAAGCATTTGTGGAAGGCACATATTTATAGGTTACTAAAAATGATTTAGCTATAAACAATTAGAAACAATTTCAATGAATATATTTCTGCACCACAATGTGTTACACTGATAACTTGGGCGTAGGGACTTATTTGAGTAGAATATGCACAAATCCCATTCACTGCTGCTATAAACATAAAAACCAAGATTATATAGATGTAGTACAATCTTAATTATAACTTATCATTGAAATGGACTACCAAAAAATATATTGATGCATTTAAAATCTTTTTCTCCAGGAGGACAACAGCAACTGTAGAATGAATCATCTATCCTGGAAAATAATCCTACAATATCCATTAACCATTGTCAGTATAAGAATTAATAATGTATTAATTACAGCATACCAAGTATGGATCAGCTATACATACATCTATATAATATCATTCAGTATAATATCTGAGAGCTCTGTTCGATATATGGTAAGGTAAAACGTAGTTTGTGATACTCAATACTAGTTGCTTATTAGTTTGTCTCCTTTTTTGTGTTTTATTGATATGCCATGCTTCCATGCCTGTCTGGATATACAACTGGAAAGGTTCATATGTCTTAAGTTTCTTATCTAAAATTGTCATCTGAATTGTTCTTTAAGATTTATATTCTTTTTTTGTTCAGGGGGGATAAGATGGGATACACAGTGGATTCTCCTCCCATTTTCCCACAACAAAAACCCATCTGGTAGATTATGCTACAGGAGAGTGACTAGCCCTAAGTCAACAAATAAACTTCCAAGAATGGAGTAAAAGTTGAGTCTTCCTAATGTACCACTATACCACACTATCCCTCATGGTTATCATGCTTTGCACAAAAATGAGATAATTATCACTTATTTTGAAGAAGACTGTACGGGTAGTCCCAATTGGGTTTGGATCCCAATTGTGATTGGAATTTCTAGTACTAAATGAAGCAGTAATTAAATAAAACATTCCATGACCATTCCGTGCCTAGGGACAGCAATCCTAGTTGCAGTCATTAGGACAGGACCAGGTGAGGACTCGTGTGATCACAACTTGTGATTTCCTGCCAGCTTCCCCATTGACTTTGCTTGTAGAAAATCACAAATGGCACCCAATTTCCAAATTGGTGCTTCTGAGCCCCAAGCCTCTATTCCTCCAAAACCAAGGATATTCCAGGAGATCACTGAGCCAGAAGAAGCCAATTTATTTTTCCTGCCCTGCGTGAACCATTTTATATCGTTCTCCAATCGCTTTCCTTTTGAGCACCCTGCACATATGTCCAAGATACCACTATATCCCACTGCTACCTGCCTGATGCAACTGTCCTCAGTAGGCCTTTCTCTCTGCCCTCTTCTTCAGAGCCATCATCGTCTTCTTCTTGCTCAGCATCAACTTCCCGCCTATCCCCTGTGCTCACTGATGCCAGCCAGCCTCTAGCTCCACAGCACTGGAGCTATTTGTGCTAGGCTTGCCCCATTCGTTGCTGCCACCACTGAGCCCAGTTCCAACAAAGCTTCCATGCTATAAGGCAGGAAGCTGGCTGGCATCAATAAAGTTGAGGAGAGGAAAGACAAGGCTGAGAAAAAAGGAAGAAAAAGATGATGATGGACCAAGAAGGAAGACAGAAAGAAAGATCTGTGAGTAGGCAATGGCAGAATATACTGGGATCTTTATCTCAGCCATACTGTTCAGAGCAACCAAAAGGACAGAGATGGGTGAGGAAGAGCTGAAGTGGAAGCAGTTCAAATAGGATAGGAAATTGGGGCTATGAGACACTGTATGGTCATAAATGTGTGGACAATTGCCAAGTACTTGAATTTTTATCATATGACTGTGGGGATAGTGTACTGGCTGAAACTCCTAGGATTGGTCAGAAGTTCATTTTTTTTAGTACCAGCATAACTTAGAATAGTCTCTGAATGAATGACTATAAACCAAGGACTACCTGTGGCTCAATCACAATCTATATAATGCATATTGAGGACTATTCCTTTGCTTAATTTTATTGGAATATTACATACATTACTTTTCAGGTGCATATTATAATTTCTGACTGCATTTTGTTTAAAACTTTTGTGCAAGTATGGAACTGATTAGCCTTACACAATAACTAAAAAGATAAGCATTGTCCAATAAAGTGAAATAATTAATATTCTAATAGTAATTATGAGCAACAAAGTAATCATTAAATTCAAATAATTTTAAACGATGTTCCCTTTTCAAATAGAACATATGGAAACAGCCATTAAAAGGTTTCATATTTATTTCATCTTAAATATTTCACATCATGATATGCACATTGGGTATACTTCCAATATTCAAAAATTACTCTAGTTACTTTTTCTGCTTCTTCTAATTTTCTACAACTACATTTTACCTTTGTTAATGGACTCATAGCAGCTTATACAGACTCTTGCTTCTTTATCCAGATATTGGAGTTTGCATTTTCGATTGCAACAGGGAGCACAAAAAATCTAGATTTAGCACAAAAAGTGCATTAAGATTTTATAAGTATATGGATGGATGTATTTTGATGTAGAAAATGGTTAAGATCACATACTTAGAAAAATCAGAAACTCAAGGAATAAAGACATCAAACATCTATAATATTTATAATATAGTACCAGCAGAGACAAAACTCAAGATAGTTGCAATAAATTAATTCTTTACCATAAAATTATCTTAAATAAACCAATAAATATGGGCTTTAAAAAAATCACAAAGCTTATAAAAATTAGCGAAATGTATATTTTAGCCAACATCCAGAAACATTTCCAATAAATCAGACCAAAAAGTTTATATGCTGATTAAACTTGATTTTAATGACATAAAGAAAAACTATTAGTAAAGGGAAATATTTTTTACAGGCCAAAGAAAAAATAAATAAAGCAACCCATCCCTTTTCCTCAGCTGTAAATGGAGTATGATAAAAATGATCAAGCAACAAAAAATGGTTTAATTTACTTACTTTCCCACAAGCACGACAGTGGTGTCTTCTTTTTGTAAATGTGAATTTGGCTTGACAATTCATGCACTTTGATGCTTCTAAATCAGGAAGCCAGGATGGCTGCTTCTGTCCCAAGACAGTAGCTTGTCCCACTACTTTTCTTGGCTCTGAAACCATAGGTAAGGAATTTTCTTTCATGTTTCCCAAGCATCTTTGTCCATCAACATTATTATGGCTAACATCCGATTCAGGAGACATTTTACCATCGGAGACAAAGGTATTTGAGTCTGTGGAATTTATCACTTGAGATTCATTTCCGGGTGTATTTTTACTGCTAACCTCAGAAGGGATTGGGGCTTTTGGTTGAAGGTTTAGCAGCTGCTTTGGTCTCGCTCCTCCACTGTGCACTGTTGGCTGACCATTTAATGAATCTGAAACTTCACTTCCAATCTCAATTGCATTATCTATAGTCTCTTGTTGAACCTGCTGTGTTTGTGTTTTCACTAGGATCTCCAAACTAGATTCTGGAATACTGATAAAATTATTTTCATTACAGGCTTTTGCTTTCTGAAATTCCAATTCTGCTTGTACGCTGTCTCTATTGGTATTCAGATTGCTTATATCCAGTAAGTTGTCATTTATTACTTCAGATTCCAAAAGCCCACTGCTAGTGTCTTCTTTCAGAGGCTTTGAATTATTTGCTTCAAGACAATGTTCAGACAAAAAGGCATCAAGCTCACTATCACTAATGAGCATGTTGCTTCCAATAATGTCTTCTTCTAAAGCTAGATCAACAAAAGGTCTTTCATCAACATCAATAGGCCAAACACTGCTGCACATTTCAGTATCTTTAGCCAAAAAAGGACTAGTAGTCACAATAGAATCCTGCTGCTGGAAAGGCTCACAATTACTAGAAACAACACATTCTCTACTTATTAAGGAAGATTTCTCTATCTCACATTCATTGGTTTGGTTTAGACTGCTCTCCTTTTCTGAAGTTTCTGTTTTTCTGCCTTCTGCAAAGCTATTTTCACTGTGCAGAGCTATGTCTCTAATGCCATCTTCTTTCTGAATAATCTTTCCATTTGTATCATCAGTATTAACTAATGATGTACATATAGAAACTGCAAGTGGAAGACAGGATAGTGAAGTCTGTATGTCTTCAGAGATCTCTGGTACTGAAACTGTATTTAAAGTTATATCAGTATATTGCTGTGAATTACAAAACTTGTCAGTTGTGCTATGTTCTTTATTGAAAGCTAGTACATTTTCTGTCTGAAGAGCAGAATCACATAAAGGTTTTTTGTTACACATTACATTGGGATTATTCACTTCATGGATCTTTGGCAAATGCAATGCTTCTGATTCTTTTATGTCTTCTGAAATGCCTTGCTTGTCACTCTCATCATGTATCATTTGACTTTTCGAACTATTTTCATCCACTAGTGTCTCACAAGGCAGCTTTTCACATGTTGATTCATCTTTGGATCCAAGTACAGCTGAAAGATGTATTAATGAAGCTGATACTCCATCAGCTCCTATCACTTGTTGTTTCTGGTCAGATATTTTATTACTATTCAAACATTTTGTTTTTTCTTGATCTTCACTAGAGTCTGCTATATTTTGTTCAAAAGGAGTGTCTGTCTTTAATTCCAACTGATTAAGTTCTGCTGCATTATTTTGTATTTTGTACAGTGTTTCATTAATCTGTTGCTGTGTACCAGAATTAGAAATGTGATAATCAACCACTGAATTATTAGCTTTTGGTGACAGCAGTGCTAAATCAAAGCCATCAATTGAAAGACCGTACTGAGACTCATCTGGCTGCAACTTTTGAATACATCCTAAATTATTTTGTATCTGGTTCAAGCCACCTGTGTCACTGATAAGATCGCAGACAGGTATACTGCATCCCTTCAAGCAAGACGACTGATTTTTATCTGAAGAATCACCACCCACCATGGACAGAAGATCTAAGCCAGTAACATTTTTCTCATTCTGGTCAGAGTTCAATTGTTCAAAACTTGCTACTTTTGTAGTTTGAGAAGATAATGAACATACAGCTGATATAGCACAACTGGCAGTTTCTTCCACATTTGGCTCAAAGGATTTTGGCTGCTGGCAAGATGAATCTAACAAAACTAAGTGGTGCTCAGAATTGCAAAGATTTATAGTGCTGTTGTTTTCAAGTTCATCTAAAAAAAAGGAGCACATTATTAGATATTTCACCATATACTTGCTACATACACTGTTCTCTCAATTACAAATGCTATCTATATTCTATCTCTAATTATATTTCCCCGTTACCTTATTTGTCCATTGTGGATTTAAATTTATCTGAAAAGCACTACATATCCCAATGAAGTGACATACCATAAGAGTATATTTTTATCTATTTTTATAGTTGCTGTTCACATACAATCAGAAGTCACAAAGAATGAACTAACCTGGGTGCTGTTCAAATTCATCAAGTAATTTGTCCAAATCAGAGACAGCTGCTTTAAAATAACTATCCATTCTAAGATTTGATCAGCAGACTCTTTTTCCGTATTGCACCTGTAGAGAACAATGAAATGAATTAAAGCAAAAATAGATGTAGGATTATTAGATGATGCATATTAGCTTAAATGTATTCTAATTTTGATTCCTTATTCTTAAGAGTGACTCTTAATTTAAAAAGAGTTGTGTATAGTTCTGAATTAAACTGCCTGGAAGGACACTTGAAAATCAGGAATAAAGCTTAGCTTTATTACTCAAAAAATATCATAGCATGTTCTTAGAAACATCCGAGCTTATATATCATATTTTTTTGCATTAAAAGATGCACTTCCCTCCCAAAAGTGGATGGAAATGTCTGTGCGTCTTACAGAGCGAATATTGCCTATTGCCACTACCCCGTTCACTGCTGTTGTCTAGCGGCGGTTGGATCAGCCTTCTAGAATATAGCCAATCAGCTGTTTCAGGCGGCGGCAGCAACAGGTGGCAGTAGCAATAGGCAATATTTCTCCATAAGACACACAGACATTTCCACCCATTTTTTGGGTGGTGAGCAGCAGCGATAGCAGAAGAGGCAGCAATAGTGCCATTTCTGTCGGCCAGCCTGCTGATTGGCAGGACTACGGGAGGCCAGGATTCAGCTGTCGCTCAACTGACCAGTGGTGGGTACAACGGAGTAGAGCCCTGACGAGCCATGTGCTGGGGCTGGGAGGCAGAGGCAGATTTTTTGTTTTCTTGTTTTCCTCCTCAAAAGCTAGGTGTGTCTTATGGTCCAGAGCGTCTTATAGTGCAAAAAATACGGTAAATATATTGCCTACTATTATGAGCAAAAGTAATGGTACTTTTTCAAACCATTTCCCCTCAAAGTAGGGAGATAGCAAATACTAATCCTTCCCATTTCTATCATGTTGCTTTTCAAAAGGTAGGACTTCAGGAACTGCCACAGTGTTTTCTAAGCCTAGAATACTCTGGTCAAATGTATTATAATGACTAAGTTCAAATTCCTGCTAATCCTGCTGGCAAACCCATGAACTATACTTTATAATGTATGAACCCTGGCAATTTTGCCTTATTCAATAAGTCATGATTAAGTAACCTTTGTTTAGCATGACTGGGATCTCAATCACTATGGGAGACTGAGTTTCGGCTTGAAAATCTTCTAGATTTTAAACTATGAATTCAGTTTTTCTAAAGTAACTGTGATTTCTTCATTAAACAAAGTTATTTAAGATTTTAAGCTAGATATAACAGTGCCCAAAAATTGCACTAGATGACACTTCTGTCTTCTAAATGAAATACAGAATATGAAAGGAGAAAAAATAAAACTGCTTACTTCACTGGCTATTTAAACTGCTTACTTCACTGGCTATTTACCCATTCTTATCAACACATTGTAGTGATAGTTCCTATCCTCCAATAATTATTCAAGTAAACTACTTCTTTTGTATCATTTTATTAAGGAATTCTGATCCATTGAATTTATACTATTTCTGTTTAGTTATACCTGAAATTGTAAAATTTTATATTATTTGATTTATCTTAAAATATATAAGCTTTAAATAGTAGACTTCCTCTTACAGATTATGGATCACCATGTAACAGGATAGATAGCAATTTTAAAGTTACCATGTACTATATAAGCATACTCTAGAAAGGGATAGCAGTATACTCAAAATAACGCATATTGAAAACAATGCCAATAGTTGAAACATTAGAGTAAAAAGACAGCAACTTAACTTTTTCTAAAAAGCTGAAAAATGTTGCTATGCTGTCATTATCAAACAAGCCATTTTGAAAGTTTTATATTAAACGATACACACACAAACACACAAATTAATCAGATAAATAAAAGAGTAGAATGTGATTTCCTACTCTGGACAAGAAAATCATGGAAGAAACAGAACAGTCAATAATAATCATTAATAAAAGAATATTAAAATCAGTGTTTAGATCCAACCTTCCAAAAGAAAGAACACTACACTACAGGGAGAAATGAAGTAATATCCATATAACACATTTTTTCTACCTTGATGTATGAAATGAAGCCGAAAGGAGACTAATGGAAAAAGAAAATATAAAAAGGATTGTGCAAATAGACAGAATAAAACATATTAAACAATCTTAAAAGTTGATGATACATTTTTTTGATTACTGAACTAAAGCCAACCATTCTTGATAGTAAAGTTAAATAGATTCTGGAAATATTGCTAGCAAGAAAGCTGAAGGATTCAATGATGAAATATGAGTTGAACTATTAATTACATTATCTTGTAATAATTCAAAGTGGTATTTAGGATCTGTAAGCATATTTGAAAAATACAGCAATAACTAGGGGACTGGAAAAGATATGTTTATATTTCAGTTTCAAAAATGGACAGTGCTAAAGAGTTTTGAAACTATGAACAATGCTAGAAGAATGCTAAAGTGTGAGACTTTGAAGTCAAGTCCTCAACAAAACACAAACAACACAAGCTGGACTTACAACTTGGATTCAGAAAAGGCAAGAACATCCAAGATCACATTGCTAACATCAGCTAATAATGAAAAAGGCAAGGAAGTTCCAAACCAACAGGTTTTTTTGCTTTAATTATTATACCAAGGCTTTTGCAAATCAAAACAAACTGTGACTAGCTTTTAAAAACATAGGTTTCTATTAAATAAATTATGTGATGATCAGAAATCAACAATTACAACAAAACATGGAACAATTGAATTATTTAAGCCTAGAAAGTGGTATGTATTTAACTCCATTTGTTGACTGTATCATGAGAATGTCTTGACTACATTAAAACTGCTGGGAGAAACATCAATAAACCAATATAGTTTAATGATAAGCTTTGTTGGTCTACAGGTAAGAAAGGCAAGATATTTTCTGTTGAAAGCTAAAGAAAAGATATGAAAACAACTCCCTTCCCCCCAAGATTATGTCAGTGGGCTAGTAGTAGACAGGGTGAAAAGTGGGGGGGGGGGGTAGAATGAAATGTGAATGGCAAAAATTAAAATTATTTTTATTTTTTTTAAATCAAACAGAATTGTTACATTGATCCGCGGCGAGTTTTCCCGTGGTAAGTTGGCCGCAGCAAGTTGGCTGTGGCAAATTGTCCCATCTCTCCCCCCACCCCCCAATGTCCGGCTTTCAGGCAGATATAGACAGAAGGAAATCTCTCTGAGTAAGAAGTCAGTCCGGACAAAGCCGGGACCGGGTTTATAGACACGAAGTTGGGAGCCCGAGACACTTGAGGAAGTAAAAGCCAAGGACGAGAAAAAACAAGGGGAAAGAACCCGAGCTCGATTGGAGGGAAGAAAGGCGGAGAGAAGGGTTTAGAAACGAGGTTAGGCAGGATTGGGACAGCCGGCCCGGGTTTTCCAGCCCCACTTTTTGGTTCTGCAACCCACCAGCTTTTTCTCCTCACCCGCGGCGGTTTCATCCTCCTCGCCTCAGCTCGCGGCGGAAAAAAAAAACCACCAGGGGGAGGCGGAGGCTGCGCGGGGTCTCTACCATTCTCCCCCCCCCACACCCTCCTCGCAACACGTCAGAGAGAAAAGCGCTCAGCCTCCACAGAATCTCCCTCCCTCCTCCCAATAGCCCCCCCCCCCGAAGGTGGCTGAAGGGCACAAAGGGGGGTGCACGAGCCTCTGGCAAGACTGACACCTCGGCAGGACACGCCCCCTCCTCACCTTCCGTCCGCGCGGAAACCGAACCTAATCCGACCAGCCCCAGATCCGGGCTAGCTCCGTGCCTGGGTGCCGTCTCAAAGTCATTCTCCGAGCCCCGAGCGCGAAGGCATCGGCAGCACTTTTCCTAGACTTTGGTCTTTCCTGAAAACCAGCTCCTTCTCCTTGCTGGCCTTCCCACGCAAGCGCGCAGGGAAGGCAACCAGGCCACCACCCACTTGAAGGAGACGTCTGCTACCAATCTCCGGGATGGACTCATCTGCGGCTGCGCAGTTGCTATGCGAGATTCTTCATGCTGCAGCCACCCCCTGGGTGTGTTGTTCGGCAGAGTGTTGGGTGTTAATTACGGGAGGCGGGGCTCCCGTGAGGAGTTGCGTTTCGGACGCTGGTGGCGGTGGTACAGATGAAGGACGAGCGGGTGTGATTTGTCTTCCTTGCTCCCCGAACTTTTGGGGCAACCGCGATTTAGACTGCAGGTAGAAGGAATTCTGGAGCTGATTTGCGAGCTTCGGTGTTCCGCGCAATTACAATTTGTAATAATAAATGGGCTACATCGCGACTTGGCAGGAGAAGAGCATGTTCCCTAACCTAAAATGTGGTTAGTGCATCCAAGGTCCCTAAGCAGTTTTGTTGAGAAAAGTAAGGAATGCCTATAGGCTGGAAATCTCAAAGATGCTTTTTCAAAAAGCAACTGGGCTGTTTTTCCTTGGAGACGTTTCGCTTCTCATCCAAGAAGCTTCTTCAGACTTCCTTTGGGACAACCATATGGAGACTGAAAATCTCCATATACACACATAAACTGTAAAGTGTCCAGAATCTTGGAGCATGAAGCAAATAGAAAAATACATTTGTTCAAGGTATTGTACTAATTTCTGAGCTACTTAATACATAAAGTTGTGTCATAATATATAGTCCACACCAGAGGTGATATTCAGCAGGTTCTGACCAGTTCTGGAGAACCAGTAGCGGAAATTTTGAGTAGTTTGGAGAACCGGTAAATGCCACCTCTGACTGCCCCCCATCTATTCTCTGCCTCCCGAGTCCCAGCTGATGGGGAGGAAATGGGGATTTTGCAGTAACCTTCCCCTGGAGTGGGAAGGGAATGGAGATTTTACAGTATCCTTCCCCAGCCACACCCACTAAGCCACGCCCACAGAACTGGTAGTAAAAAAAATTGAATCTCACTACTGGGCCACATATATGTTTTTGCAAAAAACACCCCAAATTACTCACCTACGAGTCCCTAACTGACTAGGTTTGGACTTTAAGGATAAGCGGGTGGGGCTACACAACATTGGAGAGTCTCAAAGATGATTGTCAGTGGTAAAGCACTTTTGTCCATTGCCAAGGACGGTGCTTGTCAAGCTCTCCCAGATTAGAGTCTTAAATATTGGACAAACTCAGGCTTTGTAGCTATTTTTGGTTTTCATAGTATATGAAGCTTGACATCTACAGGTAAGGGTGTTGTGTGAGTACAGCCAGATTTATAGTGATTTATCTTTATCTGTTTTGTGCTTAACCACAGCATAAAGATGTCCTGTCAACATCTTTTCTATTATGAACTGATGACTTCACTTTCATCTTATCAAAACTACGAGAAAGGCTGAAGTCACTTTCCTTATGCTGTATAGTTGTTAAAGTGGATTTTTCTCCCTCAGGGTAAAAAGATTGAGAAAGTATCATTTTGGGAAAAGATACTACTTTAAGATCTTGCATGTAGGTGCTATGTTGCACTCCTGAATTCTCCAGAGCACCTTTCAGAGATCTAAATCAGAGTCATATTAATTACACAAATCAAGCTGAAATGTCTATGATTCTGATAAAAATATTTACAATAATGTGGTTAGTATTTCAGAAGTTCACTAATCACTAATCATAATGTTCACTTACAGGTAACAAATGTATTTGAAGTTCAAACTTCAAAAGTTAATGTTGTTAAAATAATGTGTGAACTCACAACTGTAGGCATATATTTAAATTTTATTCAGTTAGGAATGAACCATTTGTCCAAGAAATAGTTTTTAGCTGGGAATTTACTGCTTTTTCAAGAAAAAAGGCTACAAATAAACATTTGTTCTCAGATGTGATGCAATTAACAGAGAGAGGCCCAAAAAGTTATTAGTCTAGAAACACTAGTTTCAGTGAAGTCTGATCATTACTCTTCCAATGCTGGGTTTGATCTGAATGTTATATCTAAAAGGAATTTTACAATTCAGAGGTCCCTTCAATTACCATTGGATTGAAAGCTGAGGTATATTGTGCTACACTAAAGGTACTACATTTTCAGGATTTTTTTCACTGAAAGTTAAAATGTTAATTACGAATACCTCTAGGGCTACAGGAAGTATCATAAAAGATCTGCAGGAAATAGTCCCTCAGAATTTATTTTTGGTCATGCTTGCCAAGGAAAATATTTTGTAAATGGTCAAGCCCCTTGACTGACAATTTATAAGAATTCCCATAACAATCCAAAATTTTCAGATATGGCCACTGTTCCAAAAACATTCTAATAGCTTATCTTATAGATTGGGGGGGGGGGATTATATAATGTTATATTTTTATATTTATAGTTTTTCAAATTATAGAAAATATTTAAAAAGCATTACAATAAAGATACAATCAAATTATTGTGACAACATACACATGTAACATAATTATTTAAAGGCAAGTCTTTCAAATAAAAAGTCAGTGATGATCAAAAAACAGGCTGGGTTTACATATTTATTTGAGGTGAATTGGCAGTAGCTTAATATGTTATGTGAACCTTGATTATGGCTTGTAAACAGTGGACTAAAATATATCTAAAGGTGAACCATGGCTTAATACGATATGTGAACCTAGTCACTAAAAATATAGAACTGTTTTTCCATAAATTTGATGTTCTCAGCAAAAGAAACTTTACATCATATTACCTAATCACTTATACCAGTACATGCAGTATTTGCCTGAATGCACTTAAGAATCAGTGTGAACCCAACACTAATTTATATTGTGCACACTTGTACTGTATAAGGTAGTTACGATTATTCTTCAACTTTCTGATAAGGAGATCTGGTGAAATGGTCACATGCAGTGTTTTTATATACATATGTAGTTTTAATCCAATATACCTACAGGTTAATATTTTCTACCAATGTAGATCAATGTATAAAAGAGACCTCCCATTTCCTAAGAGAACAGGTTTTGTTTGATCATGAAATCATTCTTTCAAATATATACATGCATAAGGCAATTGATTTTTTTAATGAAGATTTGATTGAATCCCATTATGTTCTCTTTTTGATCAATCTACATGAACAGAAAATGATACATGATATCAATTTTTACTATCTGTACCCTATGAAAATGTGGTCCAGAAGAAATAGAAATCAATAAGCCAGACATTTATCCAAGGGAAAAACATTTCAGCAATCATTCAATGCTGCAGATAAGTTAGTACATGATTGGATTTTAATGCAAATCCTAAAATGTTCCCTCAAACTTAAAAATGAACCCGAGCTATAAAATATATAGTGAGAAACTGAAACCCTTAATTTCCATCACATACAAATATAGTCTGTGGTGTCTGAAGTTGACATGACTTGAAGCCTAACTGCATCTGGAAAGTGAAAGGTACCATTTTCATGCTACAAACAAGCAAGGAGAGACAATTTAACAGGGAATGAATAAGCTTTGATTTAGGCAAAACCTCTTTCTAGTGCTCCACCAGTGAGGAAGAGCATAATAAAAGAAGCTATTTTTTTAAAAAAAGATCTTAAAAAAGAGAAAATGTCTTCTGCTGAAAAGTAAACAGCATGCAAAACACTGAACACACAAATGAAAAATGTTTTCTATCTTACTGAAACAATCCTGACAACGAACTAAATTAAAAGGCCAACTTAGAAAAGAGAAGAAAATGGAATTTAAAATGGAGAATATTTTCAGAAAACAGCAGCAGGAGAGTGATAGAATTATGCAGAAGGGCGATTAGTAGGTCCTGCTAGCAAAGCAATCTGTGAAATGATAAACTGGAGGAAGCCTTTAAAAGAATGTAATAAGGCCTTCTGTTCACAGATGGAGACTGCTGAATACAATCCATCAACAATAAATTATATATTTACTTATTACTTAAATGGTAAAATTTCCTGAATTAAGGTTGAATTATAGTTCACTGCAGGTATTCCACAAATACCTAAACCCTTGCATATTTGCAGCTCTTCCTTCTGCTTTCCATCAATAAGCAGCTTTTGCATTTATGTTTATTTGTATCCCTGATATTAAAATTATAAAGGAGTCCTTTAAAAGTTCCTTATGTTCTATGGAACACAGACGGAGTTTTAAGAGTCCTAAATTATGAAATGAAATGTTAAGGAAGTTGTTGTTTTTTAGACAGATCTACATTTTCTTAAAAAGCTATATATTATTTCATATTCACTGTCTCTTTGAGATTGTGATGTTTATTTTCTTTAGATCCTGTGGAACGGGAAGTTGGCTTTCTGCTGGGGTTTGTATTGGGAGCCGAAGAAAAGTCATCCTGACAACACGAACATTCAGGAAAAATCCATTCTTGGGGTTTTAACTCTTGTTTGTACTGACTGTTCTTAAAAGTAACCTTTTCCTCTGAAAATGTACTTTCATTCCTTTGCTGCAAAGCATTTTCTTTATCTTCCAGTGTCCGAGCAAGCATATAACTAACCTTCCTTTGATGAGCCAACATCTCTTCCTTATCGTTCAGCTATAACAAAAAAGAAAATAAAAATAAATATTGCTGTCAAACTGACTGTCTATCTTCCGAGTCACATAATATTATTAATATAGACACTGAAACCATGTAAGAGATACCAACCAGGTCTGTTAGTGTCCTAATGATCTCCAGTGGATTATCCAGTTCTTCTACTTTCTTACTCTCAGGGCCAGAAGCAAGCATGCCCATCAGCTTTTCTCTCAAGCTTTTTCTTTTTTCTTGAAACAAGGAAAGAAAGAAAAAATATGGGGGTAGATATGGTATCACTGGGAAAAAATCTAGATATTGAAAACTATATATTTATATGGTTGCCCATCTGACCAATGGGACTCTAGGTGACTAAAAGCAATTGAAATACAATACGTTTGTATGTGCATTGAACAAGGAAGAACTTATCTTGATAAAATCAAGACCTTCTTAACAATCATTTATATCTTAATCTTTTTGTGCCATGAACCTTTTGAAAGCCTCGTGAAATCTATGGACCCTTTCTTGACTATGCCGCAATTAAAAACTAGTGAAAATAAAAGTGTACTTTTTTTTCCTCATCCATATTTGCAGACTTGAACTGTATCACCAAGTTAAGAATCCCTGTCTTAGATGAAGCTTTTGTAAATTATGTACATATCTCCAACTCTAGATACTACTGTATTTTTCAGAGTATAAAACTCTTTTCCATCAAAAAAGAGGCTGAAAATCTGAGTGCATCTTATACACCCAAAACAGATTTTTTTTGTCTCCCGAAACCCCGCCCCCTTCACCAAAATGACCGTGGATAGCTTTTAGGCGGCTTTCAGAGTGCTCCTGGCAGCTGCGGAGGGCAGAAATGAGCAAAAAACGGCTCATTTTTTGCTCGTTTTTGCGCCCCCCCGCCCTGAGCACTCTACAAGCCTCCTAAATACTATTCATGCCCTTTTTTTGAAAAAAAAACCCGGGCCCATTTTTGCAAAAAAGGAGCCCTTTTTGGAGGTCTGCAAAGTGCAGAAACTTTTTTTTTTAATCTTCAAAATCTTGGTACGTCTTATACTCCGAAAAATACGGTATATTCTTAAACATATTCCCAATCCTATTAGCTGTGTAATAGGAAATTATGAGTCACTGGAGTAGGATGCCATTTAATTTTTTAATCATCAGAGGACGTCATATCTATTGCAGTGCTTAAGCAGAACTAGGCAAAAAGTTGTATTTATCCAAGGTAAAAAAGGCTGCTAGACTAATGCTGGAGAACAACTGGCATTCATAATTCTGAGACACACCCTGATAGTTAATCTACAGTTTGGCCATGAATTAATTAATTCATTATCCTTTTTGGTAAGTTATACCTATGCTATTCTATTTGATATACTTCTACATCAAATTAGTCATTAAATAATCAGATAACATGTATATGTGAATCAAGAACATATCTACTTCTATGGTCAGAGTGGAACAGGAATCCATTCATTATACAGCCATTGAATAATTAAAAAAATACACATCTGCAGAGAACCCATCCAGTGGACTCTGACAAACTTTCCAAAATATGCTTTAACCAAGCAGATAAGTGTGATCCAGCTCAACTTCTGACTCAGTCAGCTTTCCAAAATTATTTCACAACATGGCTTTTTTACTCCTTGCCTGGGAGGCCAACTCTCAATGGCCTCCCAGGCAAGGAAAATTTTTAAACAGAGTCCTAGATATTAGTGTTAAAGCTGGGATGGAATTATTGGCTTGAAATAGATCCCTAAATTGGTTGCCTAAGGGGAAAAAAACTATATTTCAACCTGAAAAATACCTATCGCTCAGTCTGTCACAAATTTTAAGAAGGGCCTATGCAAGGGCTCTAGCAAGATTTGAATTGTTGGATTCCTTGGTCAAATACGAGCACTTTTACCTTTTTCCATATTATGAGAAAACCTGAATGTACAGTAACCTACCACATAAAATATTTCTCATATTTTGTTCAAATGTCAATTATCGTATTTTTCAGATTATAAGACGCACTGGAGTATAAGACACACCAAGATTTTGAAGAGGTAATTTTTTTTTAAGTGTTTGCCCTCCCCAGTCCCAAGGAGAACTCTGCATGCGTCCCAAACCCTCTGCATGCAGAGACTTTGGGAGGCCTACAAAGTGCTCTTGGGGGCCAGGGAGGGCAAAAACTGCACACGTGGGGGGTTTGGGAGACAAAAAAGGGGCCATTTTTTTTTAGAAAACAGGCCTGTTTTTCGCAAAAACGGGGCATGCAGAGGGTTTGGGAGGCCTGTAGAGTGCTCCTGAGAGCTGGGGAGGGCTAAATGAGCAAAAAACATCTTGTTTTTCGCAAAAATGGACCATTTGCAGCAAAAAACGCATTCAAAGAGTTTGGAAGGCCTGCAGAGTACTTCTGGGGGCTTGGAAGGGCAAAAATGGGCCCATTTTCACACATTTTTGCTCTCCCCAGCCCCCAGGAGCACCCTACAAGAATCCCAACCCTCTGCATGCTTTTTTTGCAAAAAGACAGTCCCATTTTTGTGAAAAACGGGCACATTTTTTACTCACTTTTGCCCTCCTCAGCCCCCAGGAGCACTTTGCCTCCCAAACCCTCTACACGTCCAGGATACGCGGAGAGGGTTTTTGGAGGCCAAAAATGCTGTATTCAGTGTATAAGACACATCCAGATTTTCACCCTCTTTTTTGGGGGGGGAAGGTGCATCTTATACTCTGAAAAATACAGTGTATGCCCTCATTAGGCTTAAATACTTATCATTCCTATTAGAAAGAACAGTCCACTGGTATCAAAATTACAGATTGTCCTATTTCCTCCTGGACTTAAATGTACGTCCAGTGGATATAAAAAGGCTGTACACCCTGTTAAAATGTCAGTTTTTGAGATAAACATATCAGATTTTTCATAATTCTTCAGAATGTTTTCCATCTTTATAATAACCTATAGGCTGTATAATTCAATTAAAAAACAAACTAAAATCTTTTAAGAGAGAAAAATAAAAAAGAAGCATGCCATTTAAATAGGTGGGTAGACTTTTTATATCCCCTGTATTGTGCGCAGAAGTGTTAAGTTTATAATTAAGGCAGTGGTCCTAAGAACCCAATGCATTGAACAAATTGAAATACTCTGCAAGTGACATTCATTTATCTGATTACTGACTCCTTGTATTAACATATATGTACAGGGCGGGGCATAACCTTTTCCTAGGGGGTCACAGCAAGATCGACAGCAGTTTACAACTTCCGCGACACCTCATTTTAAAGCCCATAAAAAACTGAATTGAATGAGCTATTAAATGTTAAATTTGCTTTAAGAATGGCTGGAAAATTCGATTCGGAAGAACAAAGGATCATTGACAGAATAAAATGCATTGCCTTTCGAGAGGCTCGCGAAAACAATGTCGAATTTTGGGGCAATGACGTCTGGCCGGGAAATTCGCCAGATCTCAATCCGGCAGAGAACATTGGGGCCATAATTAAGGATGAAGTGGAAGCTCTGATGATTCAGGAGCAAGGTCAAAATCGATATTCGGTTGAAACTTTGAGAATGAATTTGGAAACTGTGTTGAAAAATCTGGAAAATCGAACGGAACTGTTTGAAGATTTGTTGTGTTCTTATCCACCTCGTTTGAATGCTGTTCGAAGGGCTAATGGTGGTCATACTGACTATTAAATCGTGTCAATAAACTCAGTTTTTGATGGGCTTTCGAATGGTGTATGAATTATTTGTGTTGTTATTACAAGTGTTGCTGTGACCCCCTAGGAAAAGGTTATGCCCCGCCCTGTATTTTATCACACTATTTCTTCCTATCTTATTCCAGAAATTAGATGATATATTTTATTTCTTTTATTCTGTTGATAAGGTCACAAAACCAATCAATCAATAAACTACTACATATGTCAACCAGTTCTATATTCTTGGTAGGACTATGTCTCCTTATTGCTATGTTCAGTAAGGTGAATGCTAATACACATAGATAGCCTCGGTAAGGTCTTTGTCCTAGAGAAAATTGAAATTAAAAAGGTGAATGTTATATGTATGAATCATTTGGATAATGAATTATTTCAAACAAAAGTTTAAATGCTAAGCAATATAGCAATAAGGATTATTTTCAGTATCTCTGAAATATATATGTATACAATAGAAAGAATTACCATCTTCTTTGCTGCTTTTCCACTTTACTGTTTTAGTTTCTTTTCTGCAGATCTTACTCATTTGGGCAAGCCTCAAAGCCTGGTCCTTCCTCCGCATCAGTTGCTGTTCAAAAGCTATTCTGAAGGCATCTGCCATTATATAAGCTTCTTCTTTACTCTTCTTCAGAAGTTCAAACTGTTATATTTTTCAATTAAGATACATTTTAGACTGCACTTTTAAAATATGAATGAAATCCACATACCTATGGTTATTGGAAAACAGTAAGATTATTGCTTCCCCAGTTTAAGCAGAAATCCACATAGAATTTGAATATAATCTGCCCCCCAAATGACACTTAAAAAAGCTACTGAGAGTACAGAGGAGACAAGGTCATTTTAACAAATCATGTTTATATTGTAATTTGAATAGTATAGTTTCAACAAATATGAATATTAGTTACTAATTCTTCAATAAGCCATTTCCTAGGCAATGTATTTAGAAAAAAAACTTTGACAAAAACAGAAAAATTTGCTTGGCTACTCAACACTTACTTCTTTATTAAATCTAACTAATGTCCATATGCACTTACACCTTCAGTTCTATTCTCTGTTGACTCCTAATTAATTTTATTAGTAAAGCTGGAGTGGATATTTATTATTTATTTATTTATTTATTTGACCAGATCATGTAAAGCTAAAACATTTAACATGGTGGAATAAAGGGGTAGAAAAGCAAATATCATTATTAGGGGAATAAGGATTTTGCTATATCTGTGGTACATCTCTGTAATGTTTTTATACTTCCCACAGACAGTAAAATTACTCAGCCCACCTTCTGAAAAGGATTAAAGTTAAGCAAAGAGTTCATTGCTGAGAGGGTAGATACATTTCCTACAAAACTAGTTGAACTGGCTTCTTCTGGCAAAGAGACTGAGTGGATGAAAATGTCTTAGCATAATTTGTGGCTGTATTAACTGACACTAATTCTGTTGGGTGACTGGAAAAACAGAGACGTTTGAACAGGAAGCATCCTTTAGCTTGAAAGACGGCTAAAAAGTGGATGCACAAAAGGAGAAGACGTATTGGTAAAATTAATGGAAATCTGTTAATTGCCTTCCGTCAATCTCAATGTGTTACATTTTCATGGGTCATCCATGTAAAACATAACATTTGGAAAATATTTTTAAATATATAAACCTGCCGTTATTGATATAACTATTCCACTTAAAGCTTCAAGTACGCCAGGAAGTTTAAAAATAAATAAAAAACATATTGATATATTAGCAGCTTAACAATTACATTTTTACAACAGGAACATTTGACATTTTTTCCACATGAAAAGAATGCTTCTAACCTAAGCTCTCATACCTCTTGCTTGAGCTGAAGAAGTTGCTTTCGAGTTGCTGCCGACATTTTGGCACAGGCACAGGGTTCTCCTTCAGGGCCATTGCAAGCACAGGCTCCAAGAACTGCCAACTTCCAATGTAAATGAATGCCAGGAATTATTTTAAAATCCAGATCAAATTGACAAATACACACACCAGCTGGTTTGCATATTTGAAGTTTAGTAGGATATACAAATTTTCCATCATGACTTTGCATGAATTAATCAGCATGGTTGCTTAAAAATACTCTAGTTCTGCATCCCTGGCTTTCCTCCTTAGCTTTCTTTCTAAAATAGAATATTAAGTTTTATTTAATGGGCTGACAGCTTATGATCAGATTGGGCTGTATCCATAAGAGCTCTTTCATGCTTGGCAAGATTTTCTGTTGCGGAAGAGACCTTCAGATTGGTTACTCCAGATCATACCAAGCAACATCTTAGTGAAATATAGTGTAACATTGTTCAGTTCCACTTTTCCCCCCAATCAACTCGTCTTACAATTCAAAAGAAGAATTGTGGTTTCTGTTTTTGAACAGCCAACAATAGTTGGCTAATTATCTGGATGACAATTCTTGGGACATTCTGCTACAATATTATCTCATTTATTCAAAGCTTCATCTTCCTGCTACCAGCCACATGGGAGAAGATAAGAAGATGCCAATACACGTAGTATATACAGTAAGCTCACTTCTTCTTAATGGATGAAAAGAGAACCACAGTTGCTGTGGTTCTCCATTCATTATATGCACCGAAATCTAATGTCAAAATAAATATGGGTATTTCTTGCTCTTAATATGAACCATTAGAATGAGCCATAAGATCTTGCCAAAAGAAATAAAGATTATTTTAAAATACATACTTCCAGACTTGTAACCTCAGTAACACCACTCTTGCTAAGAGATATATTATCCTGGACAAACTTCTGCTGTTTTACATCAAGCATTGCCATCATCTCCAAATGCTGTTGCTCTAAAACTGAAAAAGTTTTTAAAAAATTATTTGCAGCTTACATGGCTTATCTAAAAAAATCCAAAAATTAGAACTTTAATTTCTTTAGAGGCTGAATTTTCTGACTTGAAAATATTCTTATTTTCTAAACATGGATGAAAACACTGCGCATTACAGAAAGAATATAGAGATTGTTCTATTAAGCCTTTTTCCATAAAAGGCATTATCAATGCACACTATGAAAGCCAATACTACATAAAAGTATAAAATGGGAAAGGTTCCCCTCGCACATATGTGCTAGTCATTCCTGACTCTAGGGGATGGTGTTCATCTCCTTTTCAAAGCCGAAGAGCCAGCACTGTCCAAAGACATCTCCATTGTCATGTGGCCAGCATGACTAAAAGTTGAAGGCACACGGAACAATGTTATATTCCCACCAAGGTGGTTCCTATTTTTCTACTTGAATTTGTACATGCTTTCGAACTGCTAGGTTGGCAGAAGCTGGGACAAGCAACGGGAGCTTCCTCCATTATGCGGCACTAGGGATAAACACTAGGAATAAACACTAGGAATAAATACTTGGCATAAAGGTATATCCTAAGACTAATGATTGGAGAAGTTCAAGTTTCTTTTCTTAGCCAGTTTGGTTTGGTGGTTAAGGTGCCAGAGTAGAAACCAAGAAAATGTGAGTTTTAGGCAAAAAGCTGAGATGGTAACTTTAGGCCAGTCACTTTCTCTCAGCCCAATTCAATCCATAGGGTGCATGTTGTGGAAAAAATGGGAAGATAAAAGTGTATTAAAATATTCACTGCCCTGAATTTTTATGAAATAATAAAGGCAGGATGTAAATAAATAAAACATACAAAGCACTATTCATAACCTCTACATTCCAAGAATGCAGCTGGTATATATCCCTAAGATAAGTCTTAGTCAATAAAAGGATATACGGTAGATCTGCAACTCAGTACTTTATTTGAAAGTATGTGTCAAAAAAAAATCTGATAATCTAAGTCAATATAAAGCATTTTGTGAAACTAGATGGTGTGCCCTGGGAACAAAACTATCTATTTGCCTTCTGATAAACCATGTGTGTATGGGGGGGTGGGGGGTTTGCTGGTCTTGTCACCATGACACTTCTTTTGTGGAAGTGTCCAAAACGAGAATCTCAAATTTATTTACTGCTTCAAAAAGACTGTGATCCCCTGGATAGTAATTCTATCTAATTCTAATATTAGATAGCAGAGCTTACTTACGTTGATTTTCAGACTTCAGTAGTTTAATTTCCTCAGTTTTCATTTTAACCGTTTCTTTAAATGCAGCATTTTCACAATAAATTCTGTTGACATGGGAAATAACACATTTCAATCACATCTTTAATATGCTTTCTGCCTGGCTGATTAAAGGAATATACTTTAATTTACCTTTCATATTTCTCTGCCCAGGTCTCATCTATATTTTTTAATTTCTCTTGATTAATTTTGATTTCCCACTGCAGAACATTTATTTCCTATAAACATAAAAGAATTGTATTCATTACATTGTTAGTGAAACTGGATTCAGTTATCTAAGATATGTATTATTTAGAATATTATATTGTTTTTGCTCCGCAAGAAAAGAATATTAATGCACAATGGAAGATATATATGTTTCTACTACGTCCAATTGCCTGGCAGAACAAACAAACTGCAAAAGAATTTCTACATTGTTCAATTATGTGCTCACTTTCTCCCATTATGATTCTTAAGGCAATCTCAATTGCTGTTTAAAATATTTAAATATTTTTGACAATCCCTTAATAACATTACCTTATTCAATACAATAAGTTTGAAATGACTGAATTCAGACACTTCCTGTCATCTAAATCCGTAATCTTTGCATCTGCCAAACTGGAAAATGCTGTGAATTTGCAGAGGCCAATACAACCTTATTTGCTATATTTTCTTCAGCTCACTAAAGTATAATTAAATTGGTGCCAAATACCAATTCTGCAGTAACAAAAATTCTCCCATACCCAATACTCTATAAAAAAGAACAAAAATAAATAAATAAGTAAATAAGTAAATAAATAAGTAAATAAATAAGTAAATAAATAAGTAAATAAATAAGTAAATAAGTAAGTAAATAAATAAATAAATAAATAAATAAATAACATTCCTCTGTTTTCCTGTGTAATTCAAGTTGTATGTATTTGTCTGGATCTATGCAAAAAGTTCAGAGCAGTTGCTATGAAAGAAGCTTCCAACCACAAAATTGGTCTTCCATTTCAGAGCCCCTTGTGAGCTGTGATAGTAAAATGATGGCACATATTTTGCAAATCTCATTTTCTGTGGCATACTTCTGTGGAGGTTAGAATGGGGAAGTGAAGACAGCATAGTCAGGCACAACAAAAAACTAATGGGTGTCCAGAAGTTAAAGTTCCTGTCAATAGGAAAACAGATCACCCACAAGATGAGATGAATTCTGCAAAGAAAACAGTAGTTTCCTTCCAGTTTTAAATAAACTACAGCAAAGCCAGAAAAAAAAAGATTTCACTCTCAAAACCAACTGACCTTGTTTGATAAGTACACAGCTGGTTGCAAAGCAGTGTCAAACATATGTGGATGTTTAATCATAGTTAATTATGACAAGGTAATAAAAAAGATAAAAATATTTAGTAAAAAAATATTTTGTTTCCATTAAAGAACTAATGCATCCTCTGGATTACAACTACATGGACTAGCAAACCAAAACCCAGATGTATGAACTTAAATTGTGTCACCACGTTCATTACTTGGAGAAAAAAAAAGCATCTTCAAGTTTAGATAATTATCTAATTTCCTCATAGCCACAATAATGTGCTTTCTTTCTGTCTTTGACTTCGGAGGAAATCCCATTGAGATTAAAAAAGGCAAGTCCCACAACCTACTTTTATTCACTTTAGTAACCAGCTGGCCAACCTTGCTGACCTCACATTGTAATGCAACATATTGTTTAAGGCAGTTGCTGCATTCATAGCCATTCCTTTAATTTCTTACTCAGTTTCATCTACCACTAGGAAACCCAACTGCCAACTGCTGTCTTGAATATGTCGCAATGCAGCTTTGGTGTTCCAACTGTCATTTTTAATATGAGCCTGACAACAAAGAATTATTGACTTCAGACATATTTAAAGTTTAAACCTAGTAATCATTGCTTTTGATGTTAGACTGCCCATTAATTACTGGAAAAATCTTACTTGATTCAGACTCTTCTAGATGACAAACTATATTCAACTAATACCTGAGCATTCATGGCCCCTGCAACCAGAATCAGTTCAATACTTGTTATCTATGCTCTAACACATAACTCAGTTCCTTCTGAGCTTGCTAGATTTCAGCTGGTCAACTTGCCAGGGACTTCTCCCAACATTCTGATTTTTTCATATAGTTGGATACACATAATTTCCCTTTTTACATTTGACAGTTCTGTAGAATCTTTTAATGCTAATATTTATCACTTGGACCTCTTTGATGAGATCTATAATCCCGTGTCCAAAGCCCCCAACAGAAATATTAGTCTGCTCAAATAAGATGTCCAGTCTTTCTCACTACTATAGCCAAAAATGTCATGGATATTCAGAGTCCAGCAATATTCAGAGGAGAGGGCAATCCAAGAAAATACCTCCCATAACTTGGACAAAGCAGATTGGCTGTGTAGTGTCCTTTAAAGACTACTTCTCCTAGAATGCAGACCTAGAATGTCTGCATTGAAAGTCATGTGTTGAGATAATAGGGAAGACACTACTTTCATGCTAGAACACTTTAGAATGTTTTCAGCCTGTTTTTAAGAACAAACCAGCTATGAGAACGAAGCTATGCCAAGGTTAGCAGGGTTCATACTGTGGTAAGATAGATATATTGATAAATCCTCTGCTTGTAATAGGTTAACCAAAGTATATACAACACAATAGGAAAAGTACATCAGAGTATTCAGTGTAGATCAATGGCTACAGAACAATACCAGCACACTAAAATAAATGGACTTAAGTATGCTTAACCTGCATTGGTTGTAATTTAAGGCCACTGTCTCATACAATACCACATTTCTACTTTTTCTTCTTTTTAGGAACAATATTAGATACATTCCAGAGGTGGGTTCCTACCAGTTCGCACCTATTCGGTAGAACCGGTTCGTCAAATCTACCGAACCGGTTAGAAGAGGTTCCACCAGTGGGCCTGGAAAGCAGCCCACACCTACAGAAGAGGTTCCAAAAAATTTTGAAGCCCACCACTGACTATCATGCTCATATTTATAAAACTCAGTGCCTCTGTGAAAGGTAAGGATGACTACTGCGTTTGTGGTGCAATCAGAACATTGTGTGTGTTGAAGTTGTTTTAATGCAAACCAAAGATGACTTTTTTACATCATATTCTTATGCATGCCAGTGCTGTGTGTGAGATAATTTAAGGTGGTTCTGACAAGTGTCGGCATCTTTATATCCGGTCACATAGGCGGCAAGCCATTCCCACAAAGGAAGCCACACCCACAGAGTAGGTTCGAACAATTTTTGAAACCCACCACTGATACATTCTTACCTTTTCTAAGGCTCGCTTTTGTTGCTCTGATTTTATAAATACTGCTTTAGTATGAGTGGTAGCTTTGTCCAAAACAGCCTAACAAATATATAAAACAAAAATTGGAAATATTCAATATCAGATTGTCTTAAATGTGCAATCAATGCATATAAGTTAAGATAATCAACAAAAAGCTGTTGCTCTACCACAAAACAATAATATATATTTAAAAAATTAAAACATGTTATTATTGCAAGTGCAATATTACAGACCATATGAAGACAAGAATACACTTCTTGCTTTGAAAAAAAAGTATTATAAGAAGAAAAAAAATACCAAACAGATAGGGCAGGATGCCAGAAATTGTAAAAGTGTAAGTGTATAAAAATACTAAAAACTAGGGATAACACTGGTTTGTTTTCTGGTAAATGTGTGCTTTGTGACTCTCTATCTTTCTCTGTGATAGTCATTTATGAGAGCAGCAAAAATATGCTCCAAAAATTCCAGATGTTTTTACTGTCCCCAAAAGGTTTTCTAGCCTGCTCTACAGCAGGGTTTTTCAAATTGAATTCTGCCAAAATCCTAGTTTTTGCAAGAACTTGATTAGGTTTGATAAAAGACTAAGACCCCCCAAAAAAACCCCCCAAACACCAGGCTCTTAGGGGTGTCCATAGCAATTTTTCTAAGGTACAACAGAAAAGGCTTTGTTTGTAAGCTGACATTCAGAACTACTGTCCCTCCTCCCAGTGGTGACATTTTTCTGTCCGAGGGACAGTTTTAAAACTTTAGGCCTCAAATTAGACACAGATGAAGCAAGCCTTAGGGAGACTCCACTCCTTTAATGAAAGGTATATCAGTATGAGTAGATTTTATACATACATAAATACACACACACACACACACACACACACGTTTATATAGTGTTGACATTAAAAATTATGTTACCGTTTCATCTTCATATAAAGAAAATAAACTCTAATTTACTGTTAGCATTACATATTACTTATAAATACTAATATAGTTGTTACAACATTTTGAAGTTTTGTTCAATTTACCATGCTCTGCAGAATTTTTAAAGCTTGTTCTTTGCCTTCAAGTTGTCTTTGAGATGCTTCCAATTCCACTCTTAAAATTTCTATTTCCTAGAAAGAAAGAAAATAAGTTTGGTTAATAAAAAACTAGGTATAAAGTATGGAGTCCTTTACATTAGTGAAAATTATTTTTAGTTGTGGAATTTAACTTTTATTAATTACATTAAATATTAACAATGTTATTAATTATTAATTAAAAGTTACATTACTGTAGCCATTGCTGCTCTCAGTAATATAAAAAAATACCTCCTTATAATCACAGATATAACTATAAAAATAAAAAATCATAAAAATTCCCAAAAAACAATAGCACATAACTACAGTAACTAATCAATATGTCTATTAACTCAAAGTGGTTTCCTGTAGTCCTCAAAAATGTTCAGTTCCTGGGTGCATCTATAAATCTAGTCTGAAACCATATCCAAACATGATTTATCTATTACATTTCATTGTGCAAAAATATTCTTTGTAGGAGACCAATATTTGGAATACAGACCTTCCATGTCATTAAAGGCTGAAATGAAGAAAAAAACAAACCTGAATTCAGCTTGAAATTGTGAACAACCCCAGAGATGAGCTGGGATACTTGCTGTAACTCCTTTTATAAAGCAGTTGGCACGAGTTTCAATTATCAGAGGAAGTGGGAGGAAAACTAAAGGAATGTTTTTCTATAAGGAAGATCCACCAGCAGCTATTGCCAGCTTGAAACAAACTTTATGCTTCAAGTCACTTATCACATAATACTGTATGCCGGGGTAGTCAACCTTTTTATACCTACCGCTCACTTTTGTATCTCTGCTAGTAGTAAATTTTTCTAACCGCCCACCAGTTCCACAGTAATGGTGATTTTATGAAAACCTAATGAAAATTTTTAAATAATGCTATGAATTTTTTTTAAAAAGTCAATTAAATTAAAAAAAGGAAAGTGCTTCAGCATCGGACAAAACCCCTACCGCCCACCATGAAAGCTGGAACGCCCACAAGTGGGCGGTAGGGACCAGGTTGACTACCACTGCTGTATTCTATTATCTATTATAATAATAGCTTCACTTTAGAAAGCAGAAAACACCATAGATCTCTCATGCCAGTAAAATCAAATATGAATTATTACCAGCATATACAATTTCTTTACATACATCTCTAAATTCATGACATTTTAAAAATAATACCCACAATAGCTTTATTTAAATTCATATATTATAAAATCATGCCCGTCTTTTTAACTTTATAGCAACCATTACTTTCATTTTCTACTTCTTACAAAACTCCATAGGCCATCAGTATTATGTTTTTATTTTTTCCTTCTAGAAGAGGAAGATATTGTTCATGTCTAAGGAAAGGAAAGTACCATATTAGAGGCATCTGAATATTTTAAATTAATTTAAATATTTAATGTAAAAATAGTTAAAATTAAATTAATTTATAAAACAACTATTTTTTTTGCTTCCAGAATAAACTCCAAAAACTAAACACAATGCTGTGTGTGTGTGCACCAGGGGTAGGTTTCAAAATTTTTTAGAACCTCTTCTGTAGGTGTGGGAGTGGCTTGCCAGCCATGTGATTGGGTGGGCATGGCCAACTTGTAAAATGTGGCAAAACTCACTTAACAACGCTCTTGCTTAGCAACCAAAATGTTGGCTCAGAAACTCTGGCATTTGAAGCACACAAGTCTTAAACCTGTCAGGTTACAAGACCCTTGCACCCCTAATCCTTTAGGGGAAAAAAAACCAGGGGTGTTCAAACTTGACAGCTTTAAGACTTGTGGACTTCAACTCCCAGAATTCCTCCTCCAGTCATGTTGGCTCAGGAACTCTGACACTGAAGTGTGCAAATCTTAAAGCTATCAAATTACAAGACCCTTGCACCCCTAACCCTTTAGAAAAAAAAACCCAGGGGTGTTCAAACTTGACAGCTTTAAGACTTGTGGACTTCAACTCCCAGAATTCCTCATCTTGCTCTTCATCTTGATGATGTGAGGATGGGCAGGGGGAGGAAGCTGGAACTGGTTCTACACAGCACTGTAGATTTGTGGAACCTCTTCTATAGAAGAGGTTAGAACTGACAGGAACCCACCCCTGGTACGCGCGCACGCGCACACGTGTATTGAAAATAGTGACATTCAAAAATATAACACAGTAGTAGTAGTACCTTACCTCTAAAATTTCTTGGAGACGTTGTTTCAATTCTTCATTTGATGCCTCAGAATTGAGCTCTGAATTACAACAGAAAACAAACTGTTTGTGTATTTTTATTAAAGTGGGCAACAATCAGTAATTGGGAAGAAAACATAATCCTGCTTAATTGTTTCAGATGGCAGAAAAAAACCTGAGTGATCCTTTAAAGGGTAACAATACTTGCTTATCATGACTGATAAAATTTACTGGCAGCAATATTATCATTGTAGTAAAAACTAAGCTCAAACCCAAAGGACATGCATTTTAATGCTTGAGATCAATATTCATAGATTTATTTTAATATTTAAAAAATAGCATAACATCCAGTTTCTTTATCTTTGAACCTGAAATAAATATTATGATTTAAAAAGCAATGCTTAATATCAGTGCATTTCAAAATTACTGCCTGTAAAATTTACATGACAACTGTTCATACAAAATCCTATTTATCATGCAGAAGCATACAATATTTTTTTCAAAAATCTGGAAATACTGAGTACAGTACTAGGAAAATTTGAATTTCCAAATTATGGATCAGGAAAAATTATTTCTTTGACTAACACTGTAACTGTCCAGACAGACCTATTAAACTCTATTCCTGGTATCATTCAAATCTATCTTTATAGATACACATAGATGGAGTTAACTCCTGGGTGCTTAGAATTTATGAATTTGTCCATATTTAATGGAGTCTTGCATCTAACTGGTTGAGTCAGTAAAAAGAAACTGCCCACTTACATGCCAATCCTTATCGCTTTATCACATTTTTTTATTACTACTTCCTCTCTTATGATCCCATTGCCAGGAAGGATAACTTGGAGGAGATCAAACTGAAAACCTCTTATCTAAAATATACCTTCTCAGGCAAACTAAACTGTCAGCTCAGCCATAAAACATTTAAAGGGCCAAGAAATACTAATAAACTTGAAAAAGGCAAGTAAAGCTCTGCAAAATCAAAAGAAAATAACTCCCCAGAAAGAACTGAGTTCATAGAATACTGCCTCTTTGTTTTTCAAAACTCCTATTGTCTTTGTATTCCAGCACCATTATTTCTAATTACATCCTAATTACATCACTGACCTCACTACTGTAGATACATGTTGGGCTACATCCAATCAAATAAGTTGCAACTGTAAATTCAAATACTTTGCTCCTCTATGCAGATACTTGTATATTCAAATTTGCATAAGTCTATAAAAAGGAGCTGTTATCCCTCCCCCCTTTAAGCCTCTCTATGCTTTTAGCACTCTGTCCCAGCCAAATGTTCCCTTGGGAAAATTCTTCTAAAGTTATCTCTTTCAAAGATACAAATTCATTATATTTCAAATTCATGGAAATAGTATTTAATTGTATTTTTAGCCAAAATAAGACTGCTTTGTGTACTCCCATGCACATATAAAATGATGCATACCCAAATATTTATAATCCAGCTATCACAGCATCACTATAAGCCAAAATGGTACTTTCATTTGAAGAACATAAACCCCTGGTCAAAATTATTTCTGAGACTTACGTATTATTTATTTTACTTTGAACATATACATCTGGAAGAATTGTAATTAAACTTTCAGTCACCATTTTTAATCAAGGTGATCTAATCAATGGAACTTCCGTATTTAATGTCTACATTTAGGATCAAAACATTTACCAATATTAATTCTGTAAAACTTTTAGACTTTCATCACTTAATAACATTATTAAAAGACTTACCAGAACTGGCTTGTTGTTTACAGGTAGCAAATCCATTCCTTCCATTTTTTTTGACTGACATATCATTGAAACTGTTACATTTTGAGCAATGAAAAAATACTGCATCGTATTCTTCTCCATCACTTGGCAAGCTCTTCCTTGCAGAACCGCTTCTAGACCTAACTATATATTTGTGGAAGCCTTCTGATTCATAAATACCATTATGTTTTTTAAATCCATTTCCCAAATCTCCATGTATCATGTCATCTTCACCTTCTAAGGCATCACAGAGTTTGTTATGCATTAGGCCTGCTTCACACATTGGCAAATGATTCCTTATTCCAGGCTTCCACACTTTCTTAAAATCTTCAGGTAAAAGGTATACTAAAAAAAGAAGTTCACAAAAATTTAGAATAGTGTTTAGATTTAAGATGCCTCCAACTTTTAGTTCTAACATGCTTACAGATGTTTTAGTCAGTATCTTTTTTTATATTCATGTTTCCTAATTGAGCCAAACCTTCCATTTTAAAAATTATTTAACTATGTAAAACATTTTGTTTTTACTGCTTATAAAACAAAAACGATTGCAAATTTAGATTACAGAAGCCTATCGCTATAAAACTGGGCTTTGCTGGCTTAAACACAGCCAGCTGCTTTGTTTATTTAAATCAAAGAAAAACAAATGCATTAATTTTTTTAACAGTCAGCAATTATAAAAAGGGCACCACGTTATATGTATCTAATTATGCTACAAATCATCCAGTTCTACGCTTAAGTGCTTATTTTTTCTACAAAAGAAAATTTGATCATCAAAGTACTGTCACCAGTGTGTCCTAAATTACAAACTAGAAATACCCAATGCTTTACAATACATTTTTTCTGATAATTTTTAAGTCAATCAAAACCATCTCTTTCCCTTTTCCTTTAATTCAGTAAAACTATCCTTTTTCTACAAGTAATTATTACAGGAACTAAAACCATTATGAACAGCATGCAGGCATTCATCCTCTTCATATTACCCCATACTTTCTACAACTTTTACTGAAAGTTTGATTCTTTGCAGATTTAAGCACAATTAAGTATGTATTGATCGGTTAACAAACACTGATATATTACACAAACAATAACCCACAAACTTATTAAATTGCCACATTCACTGTTCTATAGGCATTATCAGACTCTTTTCTATTATCCCCGGATAACGTAAAACCCATTTTAACATTTAACGGGCTACTATAGTAATCTACCATAAGAAAAGATTACAAGTAATACTGATTATATTGTCATTTCGGTAGGGCGCACCTATTCTGCTTCTTATACTATATGCATTTTTTAAAAACCTTATTTGTTAAGCACAGTAGCACTTGATTTGTCTTATAAGCACCTTGCAATCAAACATTCAACAGGTGCGGTTTCCCCATCACCTCCACGATGACCAGAATTAAACCTATTCCTTATTTCATTACTCGGTCGGGAAAGACAGCCAAACGCCCACTAATCCAACCCAGTAGGAAGCTCCTGAGAGGTATGCATAGCCGGGTGCATTTGAAACCTCCAGCAGAACAGGACACACAAACTGTTCCGCAAACTCTTCCACGAACTCCCTTAGGAGGCCTCCCAGAGGATCCCTATTATAAACGGACGGCAAGCTTTCCACAGGGCCAAAACCCGGGCTTCTGCCTCAATGTGCTCCTCGCTTTCTTCCTCCTTCCCTCCCCCTCGACGATCCCGGCGTCCCGGAGTTACCTGTCGCGGCTCCCACACGAAGCGTCGGATTCAGGGGGAAAACCAGCTCTCTCTCTCGCCCACCTGTCCGATACGGGTTTCTCCACTTCCTCCTTTGCAAGCTCAATTCTGGTTTGCCCGGTGGGACCCTCCTTCCTCCTCCCGCAGGGCAGAACTTCAACTTTCGCTCGGCAATGCCGACGCCTCCGCGCTTCAAGGTTGAGCGCGGCTCTCTTGGCTGGATCCAACAGAGGCGGAAGCAGGTTCCTGCTTGCGAAGTCAGGGTCAATCCTCTTGCCACAAACCACGTCAGAGGACGGAAACAAACGAATATCCGACGGTCGAAGTTATTCCAGTTTGATGGACTACATTAGGAAAGGAATTTAGGCGGTAACTTTAAAAGAACTTAAGTTTTAAAGAGTTCGGTTCCGTTCTACTACTACTACTGGTTCAGGTAGCCTGTCGATTTAACTCATTGATTGACGGCGACTATTCTGTTCTAGATTATCTCTCCCACCCACCTCCACCCCAATCTACCCACAGATGCTCGGGAGTTTTCCTATAAACTGCAGCGAATTGTTGTATTTTTTGCTATATGGCATATGTTTTAAAAGAGTTTGCAGAAAAGAATTCAACGCTTTGTGATGGGTGGGGAGAAGCAACATCCTTATCAGATTTCCACCAGAGAAATCAATAACCAAAGCTACAAAGTGAATTCTAGATTTAATTATATATTAGGATACCTGGAATTACTTTTATATATGGTAGGCTACTGTGAAATTTTACATAAACATTTCTTTAAACAACTAATATACTAGTACTAGAAATAATATAGGTTCAGGCAGATATCTGTGAAATAATGATTTTGTAATTAAGCCATAGTTATAAATTAAGTCATAAGTTTACATTTGTATTGTATTATGTAAGGCACTGAGTCAAACTGATTGCATTGAGATGGAAATGAAAGTTATTAAATCTTTACCTTTTGTGTCTTTTATTTTAAAAAAAACATTTAAATCTTTGTTCTTACATACAGAAAAATGTAATATTAAAGAATGTAATAATTATTTTGCAAATAATCTATATAATACAGTACCAAATAACAAAAGTTGCATTATCTAAATTGTTGACTGTTCAAAACATTATTCACTAATATTTAATAGTCAAAGACAAGGTTCCAAGAATCACTATGCTTAATATACATAAGATACGTTACATCTTGCAATTGGCCAAGCATCTGCTTTTCAGATAGCGTGAACACAACATCTAACAGAAGTGTCTATTTTCAATCAGTTCAGTTGCAATCTAAAAATATTTAATGTTTAACTAAATATAACTTTGTCTGAGAACTTTAGTTTCTTCTCATACTCTGGATGGAATCCAATGATATATGATTAGGACTAAAATCGTAATTTATTGATACATTTAATATCAAATTTGGGAGCTGCTAAGAAAAATGTATATACTTTATATATCTTATATAGGCATTTTTTACATGACAAAATGTACTTTCCCACCAATCACTGTTCTTGTCTTTTCACTATAAATTCATTTTTATTTAGAAAAATTTAGGATAATAAATTCTGGTAATATTTATTATGAACATTTCTAGCGCAGAGAATAGAAAAATATGATGCAAGCAATAGCATCAGACACTTCTTGGATCACTGCAGTTATGGCCACATGTAACCTATTTACTATCTACTTAAAATGCCATCAGCATTTATTCAGAGAGGGATGACTTCATGAATCTGGGGTTGAGGATGCCTTTTAAACTGAACAAAAGCTGAGCAAAAAATAGTTTAATTAAACAGCAAATCATATAAATAACGAAACATAAGATACAAATTTTCCTGCATATTTACAGCATGCTAATAAATTAATAACTAAAATTATGTTAATATATTAAATTACATGGTCCCATATTTAGAAATGAATCACAGAAGAGCCACTGCATAATAAAACTTTGTACAGGAATAAGGTTTTGGCAGCCATATTAACTAGGGAACTCTTATTTTTCATCTTTTCAAATATTTTTATTATTGAATTTTGGATACTCGAGTTCAGATTTTTAAATCTTAACCTCTTAATGTCTGACACCTGCTTTCATAGACTCTAAAGAACACAGCATAAAATAGAAAATTCAGTGGCCTTGTTAATTTTCACCTTGCATGAAGAAATTATTGTTTCTTCAATGAATGAAAACACAACTTCTATTTATCACTGTAAATATGATTTTTCAAAAATCAGTTATTGTCTTTTATCCACTGTTCAATCCACTGTAGAATTTGATCTAAATTCTGCTCCATATCTTCTGGAGTATTACTAGGCAACTGATGTACAATTTCTTCTTTATAGGATGACATGGCTTCTTCATAAATTGTCTGAAAAATTTCACACTGAATATTGTCTTGAAGTTTTTTTCCTTTGTAACCTCTAGAAAAATATAAAAACAATGTGAAACATTTTAATTATTTAGGTAAAAATATTGAAGTTTGATATTATGCATTAATAAGATTTGTTTTTAAATGAAACTTAACTTTAGTTTTGTGTCACTGACCTACCTGTTTTCCAATCTGTTGTACAAAAATGAGTTTTCCGTGCGAAGCACAAATACTATGTTAAACCAGCGTTCAGGAAAGAAGTCACAGCTGTGATAATCAACTATGACACCTCCATCTTTCATCTTATCTTCCATTTCATCAATAACCTAAATAGAAAATAATGCAAAGAAAACTAAACAATGGATTCTTATTTAAAAAATTGAATAATGAAATTCATTTTTCAGTTTAAACTCACTCTGTCTTCATCTAATATTGGGCATTCATATTCTTCATCAAAACCTTCATACAGTTCCCCTTATTAAAAAATGAAAAGCTGTTATTAATTTATAAGAAACTATATTTATTTAGACAACTTATTGTCAGAAATTTCATACTGTTAGTATAATATGTTCTAGATGAGTGTTTTGCAAACGCCAACTTCATGAAGTATTCCCCAGCCATAATCAAATCCTTTCAATTACAATAGTCAACTATTTAGACAATGAATTTCTCATTCATTGCTCTGGAATTATAGAAGACCTTCCCTTCATCTATTATATAGCATCCACTTGGTTTTGGGGAAAATAATTATTTATTTGGCTTGGTTTTTTCCCACTGATGTTGATGTCCAGTTGATATTATATTTGCTTTTTATCTCATTTGTTTTACAGAATTCCACTTTAGAGATGCTTCTGGAGTGTCAATATTATTAAAATATATAGTTAAACTAATTATAGATATAATTTGTATTACATTATATATAACATGTATCCATGTACATCAAAAAATATTGGGACATAAATGTTAATAAAATGGTAGATACTGTGAAATTTTAAAAATTACCTTCTTTAGCCATATCCCCCACATTAATGTATGTTAAATCTGTTCTCAGAGCTATCTCTTTGGCTAGTGTAGTTTTCCCAACACCAGGTGTCCCTACAAAAAAAACAAGGCATAAAGAAACAATTAGGAAAGTACTGTAATAAATGTTAATATATAATAAACTTCCACTGCAAAATTGACCTGAAAGACTAAACAAAGTATTTATTGTAACGGGTGTTTCTTTGTCTCTAAAAATGTGATCGCTTTAGTCCTAGCATATACAAATGTACATACTTAGATGCACACAAACACATGCACACACATATCCGAGAACAAGTGCTTATTTATATAAGCCCCATTAGTTAGTCCTGGCCTTCACATGAAAGAGATGCTAATGTTTATGGAGTAATACAACCACTTTCAACTGAAAGTAGGTAAATTGCATTTTCAAATACTTCTATATATTAAATTTAAAGCAAATAAAAAAGCAACACTAAGGTAATTTTTATGTGATGTTCTTAACAGCGATGCTTTCAAAACGTGGGGAAACCTGAAAGCAGAATTAGCTTACTTTAGCTTCCTAGCGTTTTGAATGCAAATCTCCGATTCAGTCTCATGCCAGGATAATAACACAGATCCCAATGCTGCCACCATCAAAATCGATGATAAGATAGCAAAAGTTAGTTTCATCTACTTTGCGTTATGCTGGTTGCTTTAAATGTCTATGGAGACTCAGCTCATGGTTGTCCCAAAAGTGCTTTTTCCAAGAGGCAACTGGACTTTCTGGTTTTTCTTTGAAGACATTTCGCTTTTCATCCAAGAAAAGCAGGGCTGAAGAAATGAAGCTACCTTTTCCTATCCCATCACCGAGTTTGATCGCGGCAGCATTGGATCTGCATTATTATGACTCTGTAAACCGCTTAGAGAGGGCTGAAAAAGCACTATGAAGTGGTGTATTAAGTCCTATTGCTATTACCCCGGCATGAGACTGAATCGGAGATTTGTTTACGCTCTTTCAAAACTCCCCATTTGTTTCCTTCCTTTTGCAAAGCGCGACTGCGCTCGATCTAAAGCTATACCAAACCCGAATAGCCTCCCATTGTTTATCGACTGGTTCGCTGTGTCCCCCCCCCCTTTACCTGTGAGTAAAATGTTAGGCCTCTTCATAGCCGCTCTATTGCTCCTACAGCCACTTTCTAAGTTGTCATCAAGAAGCCACGTGCAAGCAGTTCGCGGGGACCTCAGCCGTCCTACTCGGATGGCAGCAGACTAAGACGTCAGAGGGTCCTCCTTCCTCTTCTTGAGGTCCAACGGTGGGTGGAAAAGCGCCGACTGGTAAAGCCGTGCAGAGGTTTTTTTTTTCCCCCGCCCGGAAGCTTTCTCGGTCACATGTACTCCCTTCTCGCAGGGCCTGACTTAAAAACGGGAGAGGGCACGAAACCGGGGCCGTATTAAGGCGCTCGACGAACAGCTAAGCGCCGAAGAGCATGAAAGGCCCCAATCGGCATGGTGCTGGCCTGATGAGAGAGGGTAGGGAGAAAGAGGGGAGTGTGAAGGGCTGGGTGTGGTTTTTAGTGACGGAAATAAGTGGGCTGCAGCCTGGCAAGAGCTAAATGGTGCCCGTGCACTACAGTTCCTGGATGGAGCCGCTTTCTTAGGGACGAGGCCGGGCTTCGTGTCTGAGCGCAGTCGGGAGAGTTATTTCAAAAGTGCATGGCGGCTGAAGTCTTCTTCTACCTTGGAGGTGTCCCCTATAGAATAACAAAGCCTCCCATCCCGACCCTTCCACTTTGCTGGATTGCTTGCTTATTTTATATAGCTGCCCATCCCACATACGCGACTGTTGCTTATAAACCCTACCGCCTGCCTTTTTGATAGAAAGGGGGTGCGTGAGAGTTGGCTAGAGAAGCACACACGTACTACCAATTGTTAGCCATTGAATCTTGAAGACCTTAACAAGTACCTTACTGGTGGCCATTCGTTAAAATTTCAGGGGTTCCCAAACAGCTATGCTAGCTGGAGAATTCTGGGAGTTGAGGTCCATAAGTCTTAAAAGTTGCCAAGTTTGAAGACCTCTGGGTTAAATCGTTATGTGTCGTGTGACCTGCATTTGATTTTTGTTACATCTTTAGAATGCTGCTCCTTTAATTGTATACGTGTTTCTTTTGCGAGTAATCGTGATTTTTTTTAATTTGCCGGATTCCCAAAGATATAACTAGTTTTCAAACTTGTCAACTTTAAGATGTGCGGACCAACTCCCCGATTTCCAACTGGGGAATTGAAGTCACCATTTTGTAAAAATTGAAAAATTTGGAAAACTAGAAATCCTTCAACATAATCCACAGTGATCCACATAATCCACACTAAGTGCAGTGTTTGTCAGAGAAGGTGTTTGTTGCCTTCATTTCAGCAGTGTAATATAAATTGTTAGAAACTTTGTCTTGCTATCTAAGATGAATTGTACTGTATGTTATTCATTACATGTTTTACTTATGTGTGCAGATATGTAGTGGTGACACTATAAGAAGTAATGAAATCTTGGCTGTTCTACTTTGAATTATCTGGACAGTATTCTGTTTTTGACAGTAAGCCCAATAGCCAGTTTTGTTCATACATTGTCAGTCTGCTTTTGAATTTTTCTCAAAAGCTTGAAGTGTATAGTTTTATCAAATAGGTTACAATGATGTATCCTGATTAGGAGCATGCTTAGATTAGGATTCCCTTAGCTGATTAGTTTCAAAATAGAAATAGCTTAATATACAGGTAGTCTAATTTAGCAACTACCTCATATAACAACAGCCGCAGTTACGATGTTAATAAAAAATAGCTTTGTAACTATTACTTCACATGTCTGTAAAGCAAAAGAAAACAAATAACACTGTAATCTCAGTTGTGGTTTCACTTGGTGACTGCTTCACTTAACAACTGAGTTGCTGGCCAATTGTCACTAAATGAGAATCTTCTGTACTGAAATTGTTTAAGTATATTCAGAATTAGAGTGGAGATTATACATATAAAGATATGCAATTTCAATGTGCTTATGTCACAGGGTAATTTGTATACATTATTGTATATACCAAGACATTAACTTTGTGAAAAATTAAATATGCAGATTACCTCATAATATTATGTACATTATTCTATTTATGAACTAAACATGTTGTTATAATTGAAAATTTTAGAACTATAGTATTTTGTCTGACAGAAGTGTGCTCTCTTGAACAGCGGGCAGCACTTTAGAGAGTTTGGTGCATTCCTGTTCTGTAGCCATTAAGAATAGCTTTAAAAAAATTAAAGTAGCATGTGGAAAAGAAAAAAGAAGCTCTACAAATGAGAAACAAAACAGATGTAAGTCCTCTTTCAGTAATTATCTTCAGAGCTGCAGACTTCATTAATATAAACGTTTCTTTATCTTTTAGGTACTTTATTTTTAAAGGCATTTAATCATACATTTTGAATGGAAACTGCAAAGGCTGATGATGTCAAAAAAATCTTCAAAAAGAAAGACAGCTCCAAATAAAGTAAGTTGTTTGTTTATTCTCTTAAATTATTATTTATTGCATCATGTGTTTAAATCATGCTGATGCGGGCATATCAAACAGTTGTAGCCAAATGAAATATTTTGAAATCATTATAACTTTAAACTTTTAATTAAAAGACTAAATTGTGTAATACTGAGTATGGATTAAACAATCTGGGGATTTTTTGTTTGTTTAAATTGAATTCAGCCTGTTTAAAAATTGCACTATTTTTTTTTTCTAAACAAGATTGAAATGTAAGAACTATTAAAGATAAGCAAAATGTTAATAAATGTTTGGAAGTGATTTATGTGTGTTTAAATTGTTTTATGTTAAGTAAATGATTGCATTTACACTGCATTCACATATATTGTATGATCGTTTGCTTCATGTTTGTTTTATTAACTACTAAAATATTGGTTACTGTATGTAAATGCAGTAATAAAATAATAACTCATTTAAGAATTGATAATTTTTGGCCTGCTATAATTTCTACATGCTTATATTATCAGGAAATTGACTGGGTGGAACCATCTTTTATTGATTTCTGTGAGACTGCAAAACAGTCATCTAGTGTTCGCCATAAAAAGTCGCTCACAGATACTGACAATTATCATAAGAGCAAAGAACATTTTTCTCGGCTTGAAAATTATAAGTGTGGGGGAAAAATAAGAAAACCGTTTTCTGTAGATGAGAAATACAAACACTTCAAACAAAATCACAGCCAAATTGAACCATGGGTAGATAAATACAAACCAAAAACTCAGGTACAGTTCTATACAATTTAATATATAGTGTATAGTAGTAGTAGTATCATTTGTATTAATATATACATATTAGTATATATTTAATATATACTAATTTTGTTTGTTAAAATAATTATGTTGCTTGTTAAAATAATACGTCTAAAGAAATATACAAAGTACTACATTAATGATTATTATAAAAATGTCAGGTCCTGATCATAAGTGTTCAATGAAACTATAATTTAATGGATCATTTATAGGAAGGAGGATGTTTTATTCCCAATTGTCTGTTAAATTAGATGGTGCATGATTTTTAAGTGATTGATTGATAATGTACTGTTGAGTTACTTTTGACTCCAAGCAACCACATAGATTTTTTTAATGACAATGTATTCTTTCAGATCTCCCAGTAGTGCCCTCATCATCACTGTAATTGAGTTCATCCATCATGCTGATTTCCTTTCCTTTTCTATGTAATTGTATTAAAAGATTTATAAGAAATATAAACTAATTCTATCTGATACAGAGTAAGGAAATGAAAAGAAAGAAATCAAAGCTAAAAGTGCAAGGAAGAAAGAAAAATAAAAATAGGAAAAAAATACAAAAATGGCTTTCTATCTTCTTTATAGCAGTTATAAATACAATTATAAATTTAGCTCTTCTTCTAAAATTACACATTAGTTATTCTACCTGTTTTCATTTGACCTTTCTTATATTTAATTTTAGTCTCATTTTCACTGTGCACTTTAACGTTAGTACTAAGTTAGTACTATGTATGGGTTGCAGATCATTTGTATTTTCTGCTGTCTGGGTAGTGTCATCATTATAGCGTAAGCTGTTTCTTCTCCAACTTTAAAACCATTCTCCTCATCTTCCATTTCAACTTCCCTTATATATTCAGCATGTAGGTAAAATAAAGTATGCTGTACATATTCTAGTGCTTATTATTTGGATATCATTTTGTAAGTGACGTAATTTTCATGGAGATTAGATCTTTCCCTAATATTTTAATTTGTTTAAATCTGGTATATATGGTAAGAGAATTCCAGTATGTATAATTAATAATTTTGTATTTTGCTACATATATATGTGTTATATACATATTTTTCTCTGTTAGAGTGACCTTGTCATTCACAAGAAAAAAATCGAAGAAGTTGAAAGATGGTTAAAAGATCACCTATTTCAAAATCAGCCAAGACAGGTAATATTATGAACCTAATACTCTGACTTGCCAGTTTGCTAATTTTGAAGCTTTTATTTAATTTCAATCAGTAGTTTTATTTTTATTCTACCAATTTAATTTTGCTGAATAATTAATGAAGTAAGATTAGAATATTATCAAAATCTTATATAATTTTAGAGCAACATTTATTTATTAGAATAAAATAAACATTTGGATAGATAAAGATAAATCCAGCTGCAATTGATTTATACAAAGATTGCCTTGAGAAAAATTATTCAGTTTGTGGGGTTTTTTTTCTGAATATCCTGAAGTTTTTTGTCTGCTTACTAAATGAATAAGCAGGTTGGTATTAATCTATGGCCAAGTTTCCATTAAGGAATACCTGCTTCCATTTAGAGAACATTTGACACACATTAGGCCAACTGAAGTGTAGTACAAACAATTTGTTTGAATTAAGTTGTGCAGCATAAAGAAAGTGGGCAATCTAACACTGAATTACTTAGAATATAACTATGGCTTCTGTATTTATTGGAAATAATTTTAAAAAATGGATATTATTGACACCAACATTCTATTTTGTTTTATTAAGAAACACATATTGTTTTTTCTTTAAATATCGTACTCAGCTTATGATAAATATCTTGTTTTAGGGAGGCTCCATCCTAGTGTTAACTGGCCCTCCAGGATGTGGAAAATCGGCAACTGTGGAAATATTAGCTAAGGACCTTGGTATTCAGATACAAGAATGGATAAATCCTGTATCACTAGACTTCAAAAAACACGACGACTTTCAAGTTGCTTTTAATCATGGTAAAATTTTAAAATGTTCACTTCTTCATTGTTGAGCAATTAGAATACATTTTTGGCATATCTATTTCTGGTAGGATGACCATTAGAGGGTATCAAATTTCATTAAAATAAACAGAACTAACTTATAATTAATTTGAAAGTAAGTTGCTAAGGAAATTCCAAAGGTTTTACACACAATGCCTGAGAATAAAGTCATTCTTTATTCTCCGCTTCCTCTATATTAGGATTTCCTGTCTTTTAAAACTGCTGCACATTAGACTGATAGGATATTTCAGTCAAGTTGAAAATACAAACTGAACTCAAAATTGTAACTGCAGGTGGTGTCCAGAACTACTTGCAAGCCCTAGGCACATGTGCTCCTTGTTCTGTTCTCCTTTCTGCTAGTATGACTGCAAGGAAATTCTAGCCAGGGGTGAAATTCAGCAGGTTCTGACAGGTTCTGGAGAACCGATAGCAGAAATTTTGAATAGTTCTGAGAACCAGCAAATGGGTGGCCCCAGAGTGGGGTGGGAATAGAGATTTTGCAATATCCTTCCCCGAGGAGTCAGGAGGGAATGGAGATTTTGCAGTATCCTTCCCCTGGAGTGGGAAGGGAATGGAGATTTTGCAATATCCTTCCCCGAGGAGTCAGGAGGGAATGGAGATTTTGCAGTATCCTTCCCCTGGAGTGGGAAGGGAATGGAGATTTTGCAATATCCTTCCCTTGCCACGCTCACCAAGCCACCCCCACAGAATCGGTAGTAAAAAAAAATTGAATTTCACCACTGGTTCTAGCCATATGTCTGCATTTTGTCTGAACCATAATTTATTCTTAGCTATATTTAGTAAGGAAAGCAGCTCTGAAGATAGGGAATTAAACTTTTTTTGGATTTATTAAAAATATGTAAGATTAATTGCAGTTTATTTGATTTCAGTTGGGTGATAAACTGCATTTTGTCTAAAACTCAAGTAAAAGCTTTGTTCTTGGGATTAAATTGTTAGTGTTCAATTCCATTGAACACTATACTATGTTCAGAATAGTGAACTCCTTTCTGAGCTTCTTCTAAGCCTATATGTAAACTACCTTTTCACCTCCTACTCCCACTTAACATTATCCTATATTGTTCCCTCTAATTTCTGCTATTCTGTGTGCAAAAATAAATAAATAAAGGTTTTGTGCAGCTTGTTCCAAACCAAGTACAAGTTTGTGCACCACAATATACGAATATGAATAAATTTCAAATGTTAAAATATATTTTTGAAAGAGGCTCTGGAGTTCAGGGAAGGTCAGCTATTAATGCAAAGCTGTCTGTTAGCAGTCCTGGGAAAGAGGTGCAAGCTTGCTGCCTCAGCTTAATTGCAGTATCTAGGTCAGTTGGTCCAGCTACAGCAGTTTGAGAAGGAACTTCTGTCACATGATCCTCCTGCTCCATCCATACTAAACAATCTTTGTTACTGCAATTAAGGCAACTGGCTTGACCTCATGAGCCACAAGTACAGAGCTTTATGGTGATTGGTGAATGAATGTATGATTGTTTAATTTTTCAGTGTAATATAATCTGTTTAATTGAATTTTTGCTTTTTTCTTAGTTTCTTAAATAAATTTCCCGTTGTATTTTAATCAAGTTCAAGCTGCACCAAGGAGTGCTGTGATGCACATATATAGCCTGTGTGTGCTGCCTGTTTGACATCTCTGGTATAGATAATATGACTGTTATTAACATAGTGATTAATTTTCAGTAATTTTTTTCCCAGTAGACTGGTTTTTAAACTTTCAAATAAAATTCAAGCCATTTTTTTTTTGCCAGAAATGTAGCATTATAACGATGGACAAGTCTTCAATGCTAAAGCACATCTGATTTTTTTGAAAAATTTCAATTCAGTAATTGATATATCTGGCCCGTCGTTTCAAAATATAAGAACAGAATTCAAAACAATAATCTATAGTATATGATCTCATATATGTAATACTTTTCTTAGTACTTAGTGCATATTGTAAAATAAATATTCCTTTTTAGAATCGGCTTTTAAGATACTTCCTTATCCGAGCCAGGCAGCTATATTTCAAGAATTTCTTCTAAGAGCAAACAAGTATATCAAGCTTCAGATGGTTGGAGAGTCCATGGAAACTGACAAAAGACTTATTCTTGTGGAAGTAAGTTGAAATATTTGAATTAACTCCATTAAGGTGTTTAATAATTAAAATTAAATGCTATATTATTTTCTCCCAATTTTAAGTATAGCAGTTTAAATTAATTAGGTTTTCCAAATTTAGTTGCTCAATAGTAAAATTTCAGTTTTCTACAATAATAACTAATAGCTTATTTCAAACATATCTACTGATAATCTTTGAAAATAATTACAAATATAAAACAAATATTTGATTTTTTTCAATTTAGATTTTAAAACTGCAGTTTTCAGAAAGTGCAAAATAATGGCCTGAAATGTTTTTTTCATTATGTTGAGCTTTATTTTATTGTCAAGCATTTTGGAAAATTTTGTAGGCAAATGGTAGAGCATTAAGTGTGAATGCTGGGTTCTAAATTCAATAATCAACATTTCTTGATGCCCAAAATACCAAAGAGTAATTATTTTTGAATAATTAAATAAGAATATTCATAACAATGGCAGTTAGTTTCTTTGTTCTAAAGCTATATCTATTTTTGTGGTTTCCAGATGCACTTTGAATTTATATGAACAAAACTATCCAGCCCTTACATGTTGGACTTCTTTTTTAGGCATGAAATAAATCCAGAATTTGTTATAGATGGATAAGCCCAAAGCATAGAGCTGTGATGGCGAACCTATGGCATGCGTGCCCAAAGTGGCACGCGAAGCCATGTTGCCCGGCACACGTGGCCTTGCCTGTTTTTCTTCTGGGTTTCTGGTACACATGTGCGTGCGATGATCAGCTGTCTTTTGCGCATGGCAGTGCCTAAAACCGGTGTCTTCATGCGCACCAGCCAGCTGATTGTCGGGTGCTCATGTGTGCCAGGACCTGGAAGTTCAGCTTTTTTGGAGCGCGATCTCTTCACACACGTGGCAGTGCTGAAAACAGGCGTGTCCATGTGTGCCAGCTGGCTAATTGTCAGGCACGCATGCGCGCTAGAGCTCCAAAGTTCGGCTTTTCTGGAATGCAGCACCGGCGTGTCTGCGCTACTTTTTGACACTTGGTGCCAAAAAAGTTTGCCATCACTGGCATAGACTCTTACTGATAGATAAGTAGTTTAATGCAGATAATGCCTTTTAAGGCCTGCATAGATGTGCGTGTTTGTCTCTATAATAGGCTCATGGTGTTGTATCTATGCTTTTTATTTCCATTTTTCCGTTAAATACTAGTTCATTGATCTCTACAAGGCAATGGAAAATAGCTAAAACTCTTTGTTTACATAATAACTTTTTCTGGCTTGAAAGTAGCTTTCTGCTTCTCCAACTTCAACCTTGGCACCATATTGCATTGGGTTCATCTCATAAATATTCCATGTTTGTAACATTTATACTTGTGAATACCCTTAATGCATAATCTTAGTAGCTCCAACAGATTTTAATTCAATTTAGCAGATATGTTAGAATAACAACATTGTATTTGCTTTTCAACAGGATATGCCAAACCATTTTTATCATGACCCTAGCAGTTTACATGACATTCTGAGGTATGTTCAGTATCTGATTTTGCCAAAGGTTCACTCAGAGAAATTACTGGGTATGGCTGGACCAAGCCTAAGTTTTTCCAGTGCAAAATAGTGCACTACCAAAATACAAAGTTCCTTCTCTTTCTTTTGCTGCTAATTTGGGAGTGGTGAATAAGTGAAGATGCCATGTTGCAAATTATGTATCTTTTGCATTTTTGCTAGTGCAATTCTATTGATTGCTGGTCAGAATTGATACTGTTAAGCTTGAGCTGCTAAATTTCAATTTTTCATTGTAGGAGTTTTGTGCGGACAAGCAGATGTCCTCTTATATTTATAATATCGGACATTTTCAGCACAGGCAGCAGCCAAAGGTCTCTATTCCCAAAGGCAATTCAGGAAGAGCTGTGTATAGCAACCATTAGGTAAATAAATTGACAGCTACATTGGTCATGATGAAATACTCATATTGACATTTATCTTGACGATTTTCTTTTTTCAATTTTCTCAGTTTTAACCCAGTGGCACCAACACTGATGATGAAAGCCCTAAATCGAATTATCACAGGGGAGATCAGTATGGTAAGATAAATGAAATTATAATATTGTCATACTGTAAGGAATACAAAAAGCAAAAGTTGGTGATGGATCATTATTATTACATTTCTTCTGAATATCTTACAAGTTTTAAAAAATGTGTTGCATAATAATGGTTGACAGTTGATCTCAACAATCTTTGTTTAGTTCTAAACATTAGTGAGCGATTCATAATTAGCATTGTTCGTCCAACTTTAATATAAAATTGTTGGGAAAGTAAAATAGGGATAAATCATGGACAGTTTTGAATGATTCTGTAGAAGTAGTAAAAATATTGAGTGATAAATGTCTTCTCCAAAGTAGATAGGAAAGTACAGCTCAATCTTTGCAGCTTTTGGTACAAGAGAGAGATAAAAATGAAAGCAGGAAGCAACTGGGTATTATTATTACAATTTTTTTATTTTTTTGAACAAACACAAATGGACAGAACAAAAACCATAAAAGCATCTTCCATTACAAATTATAGAAAGTGTGTCAGTTGGTTACAAAATTTCTGTGCATCCCTTCCATAGTCATCGCTTGCAATACATATCAAATCACATATTTTTAAATCAAATATATATATATATGTGTGTGTGTGTGTGTGTGTG